GTTTCCTTCAGTGCTGCTAGCCATCCTAATCTAACTATGCATCTTAGTTTCTGTCTCTACAGTTTCTGTTGCTACAGCGACTTACGCTGCGTTATGTACATGCAAGGATGCGCTATTCCTTACTCACTTGTGTTATGCTGCCATGTTGCCCTGTATCTTCAGTGCAACTATCCCAGTCAAACTGTGCATATTCACAGTCTCCGTCGATACGGCGACATGCGCTGCATTTATTTACAAATGGATGTGTTCATGCAGCGATGTTGCCCTGTATCCTTCAGCCTAATATGGAGCTAACTGCGTGTATTAAGTTGGCGCTACAGCGACCTATGCTGGACGTGCATGTGCTACGCTGTTATATTGCCCCGTTCCTATCAGGGCAACTGGTTATTCTGTGCTAACTCATATATTCACAGTTGTAGCTACAGTTATGACTGTGTTTGTGTGCCTACTGCTGTACTATGCTATTATGGGGCTACTTTCTAACTGCGTATATTCACAGTTGTCGTCGCTACGGCCACTGGCACTGTGTTTATGTACATTCAGTTATGTGTTGATTTGCACTTCTGTACATTGGCTATAGAATATCGGCTATGTTCTACAAAGTGGCACCCCAGCCCCAAGCTGTGGAACCTTCTTGTGTGTCCGCTGCTGGGTCCTTAGTTGAGCAAGACACTTCACACTGACAAGTGCTGAGACGGAGCTCTCCCTGAGATGGCCTTACCACCGGCTTTCGCCCCAGCGAAGCACTTGGAGACTTACGCTCATTTTAGTGAATGTTGTCGCATTGTCTCGGACCTGATGACTGCAGCGTCACTCTCAGTCCGATACCTAGCTACGTTCCGAAGTCGCTTACACCGTTCAGAGCACAGGTTGATCCCTGTCCGCCTTATCTGCTGAGTTTCAGCCTCGCATGATGCCGATGCTCAGAGTGATGTTGGCCCTGTAAGGGATTTGTGGATGTACGTGGATCACTAGGCAGCAGTCTACCAGCTGTTTGTGTGCTTGGTGGATGGTACTAGGGACGTGCTGTTTTATACAGAGACTTTCTCTCTGAATTTGACGCTTTAAATGGTTGCTTAATGCCTACGGGATTTAGGTATGCTGTCTTCTCAGAACACATTCGCCAGGGTTCCAAGTTTGATGCACCACCTTAGCGTCGTGGGTTCGGTGAGTTTTATCGATGTACTCATGAAACTGTTACCACCAGCTGTGCAGTAGTCTGTATTGCAGAGTTAACTTTGCTGCTAACTCTGTGTTATGACTATAAGGTTACATAGCTGTTTCCACATTACGCAGTAGTTCCAACGTACTGTTAACTCTGTGTGTGGCTTAAGGTTATGCAGCTGTCACCGCTATGCCGTCGACACTGTGTTAGCTCTTGTGCTCGAGTGCTTATGGTGTTGTGCTGCCCTGTCCAGTGCAGCCTTCGCCTCATTGCAGTGGATGCGCAACTTGGTAAGCCGGAGCAGACGTTGGTCTAGTTTTGCCTATCAGTTTTAAGTGCTCCTAGCGGCGCTGCTGGCTTAGAACTGTTGTTCCTGTGGGAGTGTAGTTTGACCCCGTTCAGGGCTTATCTTCACTGCGCTCACGGCGGGATTCTAAACAGTTCCCATATACGTCAGTATGACGTAATGTCGAAGTGACCGCCTTGAAAGGGAACGTCTCCGGTTACAATCGTAACCTCGGTTCCCTGAGAGGCGGGAACGAGACATTACGTCAACCGCCGTGCTCGCCGTTTGATCAGCTGTGCTAGCATTCAGTCTTGATTCTGACGTAATTGTCGCGCCCATGCTATTTATACTGCCCGCGGACCGGTCAGCATTTGCATGTTTTGCTTCAATTGGCCAGCTGTCTCCAGCTGGCGTTAACCTATAAGATTTCAGTGAAAATGGAGAAGGGAGGAGTTTCCAAATACGTCAGTATGACATAATGTCTCGTTCCCGCCTCTCAGGGAACCGAGGTTACGATAGTAACCGGAGACGTTTTCCTCCAGCCTGATAACAGCCGGCCAATCAACGAACAGAGGGCGGGCTGAGAGCCGTGACGTAGTCGCTAAGCGCCGAGTTTAATGCTGCGTTCCAGGCAGGTTTTTGAGCACGTAAATCACGACTTCAAACCACGACTCACGACTTTGTAGCGTTCCAGGCCAGTCACGCCAAACTACCTGCGCGCAAGGAATTGTGGTAGCTAGATGTAAACAAACCATTGTTGTTTTGTATGATTTCGCGGGCTATGTGACGTCAGAGCTCGTATCTGGGAGTGCATCGATCTAGTACGAGTTCACGGGTGGGAAGTCACGGGTTTGACTGCCGTTCCAGTGCACTTTCACGGGTATAAGGTTGGAAAAACACGGGTTACAGGTTGCCTGGAACGCGGCATAAGATTAGGTCAGGGAAATCGAAAACGACCGCGGATATGGAGACGCGGATGCAATTCGCTCAGTTGTGGAGAATATTTCCGGCATTAGCAAACTGAAGCCCGAACAAGAAGAGTGTGTATTAAACATTTTGAATGGAGGTGATGTTGTGGCCCTACTCCCTTTGGGAAAAGTTGAATTGATCAACTATTACCGATCGTCAGCGAGAAACTGGGGAGCCTTTTGACAGGTCAGTGTCTCCTTTCTTTTCCAGGTCTTAAATATTGCCATGACATGCTGTAATCTTGCAATTAAGTTGCAGCATTTCCGACAGACTCGAGATGAACAAAGAGCTGTGTTTAACAGAACTAATCCTAACTTTGACAGTTGGCTGCAAATATTTTTTTGTTTCTCTCTACTGTCAAATATCAGTTTAGAGGCCCTGATTGTACCGTGGATGCGTAGATTAACTTCGCATAATCTGCAAAAGTCGTTTACAGCCATGTTCACTCCGGTACTTCGCTCGCATCATCAAGTGTTTACAGCAGGTTTACAGTGGAAGTTCGATCATAGATTTGAGTTCGATGCATGATGTCTGTGGTTCGATGCGGCTGTGTCGGCGCATAACATACGTCATTAACTTATCTGATTGATTTTAAACTTCAGACAAGCGCCCCCTAGCGAGAGAGAAAACACTTCTCTATTATGCCATTCCAGACTCTGTCTACGAAGCAAAGTGAAGTAGCAGAGTCTGGAATTACCAGGCTAACCTATCTGACCTGCTGCATCAGTATATCCCCTCAAGAAGCTTAAGATCTGGAGAACAGAATCTTATTTTAATTCCACATTCGAGACTTCGTTAATCGGTCCGCGCCTCTGGAATGACTTGCCAGTGGAAATTCGATTGGCTCCGAGTTTGACCATTTTTAAGTCTTTTTTAAAAACTCATTTGTTCTCTTTGGCATATTAGGATTGTATTATTGCCTAATATGGAAACCTTGATGAAACAGAAACTGTATGCCTTAAAGTGGACTGTGTTCACTTTATGTTCTTTTGTTCGGTTCTTTTGTTGTGAAGCACTTTGGTCAGTCTGCGACTGTTTTAAATGTGCTATATAAATAAAGTAAACGTGAAACGTGAAACCAGGTCTGCAAAACTCAGTTGATGAATCAAAGAACGCTGAACATTTTCACACGGTCTTCCGTCATTGCTTGTGTGATGCAGAAACACCCAAAGTATATGCAGTTTGAAATCTGCCATGTTTTCTTAAATGGGAACAGTTCTTCAGCCAGTTTTGTAAAGTCAGCATGAAACAGAAGTTGCGATAATCTTTTCTTCTGTACTGTGAAGTATATCTAGCCTGGTAATACCAGACTCTGCTACTTCACTTTGCTTCATAAACAGAGTCTGGAATGGCATAATAGAGAAGTGTTTTCTCTCTCGCTAGGGGGCGCTTGTCTGAAGTTTAAAATCAATCAGATAAGTTAATGACGTATGTTATGCGCCGACACAGCCGCATCGAACCACAGACATCATGCATCGAACTCAAATCTATGATCGAACTTCCACTGTAAACCTGCTGTAAACACTTGATGATGCGAGCGAAGTACCGGAGTGAACATGGCTGTAAACGACTTTTGCAGATTATGCGAAGTTAATCTACGCATCCACGGTACAATCAGGGCCTCTAAACTGATATTTGACAGTAGAGAGAAACAAAAAAATATTTGCAGCCAACTGTCAAAGTTAGGATTAGTTCTGTCAAACACAGCTCTTTGTTCATCTCGAGTCTGTCGGAAATGCTGCAACTTAATTGCAAGATTACAGCATGTCATGGCAATATTTAAGACCTGGAAAAGAAAGGAGACACTGACCTGTCAAAAGGCTCCCCAGTTTCTCGCTGACGATCGGTAATAGTTGATGAATTAAACTTTTCCCAAAGGGAGTAGAGCCACAACATCACCTCCATTCAAAATGTTTAATACACACTCTTCTTGTTCGGGCTTCAGTTTGCTAATGCCGGAAATATTCTCCACAACTGAGCGAATTGCATCCGCGTCTCTTCATACCCGCGGTCGTTTTCGATTTCCCTGACCTAATCTTAAACACTTTCAGCCCGCCCTCTGTTCGTTGATTGGCCGGCTGTTTTCAGGCCGGAGGAAAACGGATAGATAGGCCGCTGTCTCAGACTGAGTACCATAGACAAGCGAAATGAAATTGAGCGGAAGTACGAAGTCTGACATAGTCAGGCTAAAGTATATCCGGGAGAAACGGCTTCTCGAACAAGAAAAAATGTAGTAGATTTTGTACATGGAGAATTGAATTGATTGGATGTTGTGGTTTGCTATTGGTCGAAAGTGTCCCGCCCTTGCACCAATAAACATGTCATCAGAGAAGAGAAGAGATCTTGCAGCAACAAGAGGAGAAGTTATATTTTGAGTAGGGATTACGAGGACAAGTTAAAAAAGATGTGCACTTATAAGTAATTTATAATAAATACTGCAATATTCCATAAACAAAAATAAAAAATAAAAAATAAAAATAATTGTCCATTTTGGTGACTAAATACAATTAAATAAATGAAATGGCTTTTATTTTGAAAAGGGTGTTTTTGGTGGGCGACAGACCGATATCGCAGAGTGGTCTCCCGCTTCACGCGTTGGTGTTGCTGCGGTCAACAGATGAGATACACACCGCATAGACAGTCGTGGATGACCGCAGAACACGTTACGACGCTCCGCTATATCTGTTCTCACCTGTACCTGTTGACATTTGCTTCCTCAGAGCTCGTTTGATATTGGATCATCCAGGCTGAAGAGAGAGAGAGAGAGAGAGAGCAGTAAAGGAGGAGGAGAAGAAGGAGGCCACTCCTTTGATAAACTGCGGATTAAAAAGCTCTCTGCATGCAGCTGTGTAATATTTACATTCAGCAGATGTGTGTGTTCATAAATCACTAGAGCTGTGTGTGTGCGTGGATGTTCCTGGACAGCTCGCGCTTATTATTATCCTCGTGTCGGATCTTCAGAGACGAAATAATGTAATGTAACCTGGCAACACGAATGCAGGTAAGACACCGCGTTCCCTTTCTCACTAACAAAATGTACCATGAAATTATGTTAAGTACCATCCAAATACTTATTAATAATCGTTCAGTACGTCTATATAACACAGTATCATGCCATCAGACACATCACTGCAACATCCCTGCTAACACACATCATATGTTCTAAGAACATTTTGCTAACGTTCCCATTAAGTTATTCAAACGTTTTTTTTTCCTGAAAGTTCTCTGAACGTTCTGAAAAATGTAAAAAAAAAACATTTGATCATCTGAAATATTTCAGGAAACACGTTTTGCGAACGACGTACACATATCATGCTAACGTTTTGAGAACATTAAAGACCAAATAACATTGAACTAACTTTCTATTAACGTTACTTAAAGAATGAGGCAACGTACAGTTACTAAAGATTGCTAACATTCCCATAAAGTTTTGAAAACGTTTTTTTTTTTTTCATGAAAATTCTCTGAACGTTCGAAACTACCTGTTTTTTAACGTGTTTTTTTTTTTTTTTTTTTTTTTATGCGAACAAACATTCCATTTGTTTATTCTGCAAACATTATGCCGGGGACGTTAAGTTAATTACTATTAAAAAAAGGTTCTCTGAACGTTCTGGAACATTTAAAAACATTTGATCAACTGAAACATTTCAGACCAAAAACCGTTTTGCGAACGACTTATAAATACCATGCTAACGTTTTGAGAACATAATTTAAGACCAAATAACATTGAACAAACGTTCTATTAACGTTACTTAAAGAATGTAACTTAAAAAACCGTCATAAAGAATGTAACTTTAAAAACGTTACTTAAAGAATGTTTGCTCATAACTTTGAGCCACACTTTTTAGTTAAAGGTCTGAGAACGTTCCACCACAACACTGTTGGTAACACTTTATGGTAACACTTTATTTTACAGTGCCTTTATGTTACATGTAGTTAGTTACTATAGTAATAACTATAAATTATGCATAATTACATGAAACTAACCCTAAACCAAATCAAACCCTAATCCTAACCCTTTAGTAAGTACAAGTAGTTACTTAATATTACTCAATACTTAAATGTATAATTACAGTGTAACACCGGGACCTTAAAATAAAGTGTAACCCACTTTATCTCGGTGTCCTTGTTACATGTACTTACTATAGTAATAACAGTACACTATGCATAATTACAAGCAGCTAAACCTAACCCTATGTACAGTTAGTTTGTGGTTAATTAATAATACTCATTAATATCTCGCAAGGATTTGTTTTGAACTACTAAAAATATGGGGGTTCCTTGCAATTCTTGTAATTTGGAGTTGTATCTTATACCATGTTAAATGAATATGGTAAAAACATGGTGATGGATACAAATGGTTACATGGTACTTTGATATGAGCCGTTTGCTGCAATGTTTTTGCCACTTTTTCTGCGTAATAATCAAAAGTACTTTATTAAATGGACTAACTGCAACACATGTAATCCTGTGTGAGATGTTTTGTGATGGATGTTTGTAATCTGACCACTAACAGCTGCTTTAAACAGCCATATGGATCTCTTGAAGTTCATAGTGTCAATCATATATTTATATTTTAGGGTTCAGCGTGTTTTTCCACCTGTCATACACATCCACGCCGAGTGAATGAGAGCACACACACTTCCCTGGTTACGTGGATCTCAGTGTAACACACACACACTTCCCTGGTTACGTGGATCCCAGTGTAACAGACACACACTTCCCTGGTTACGTGGATCTCAGTGTAACACACACACACTTCCCTGGTTACGTGGATCTCGGTGTAACACACACACACACTTCCCTGGTTACGTGGATCTCCGTGTAACACACACACACTTACCTAGTTACGTGGATCTCAGTGTAACACACACACACACACTTTCCTGGTTACGTGGATCTCCGTGTAACACACACACACACACTTCCCTAGTTACGTGGATCTCAGTGTAACACACACACACTTCCCTAGTAACGTGGATCTCTGTGTAACACACACACACTTCCCTGGTTACGTGGATCTCCGTGTAACACACACACACTTCCCTAGTTACGTGGATCTCAGTGTAACACACACACACTTCCCTGGTTACGTGGATCTCCGTGTAACACACACACACACACACTTCCCTAGTTACGTGGATCTCCGTGTAACACACACACTTCCCTGGTTACGTGGATCTCCGTGTAACACACACACACACTTCCCTGGTTACGTGGATCTCAGTGTAACACACACACACACTTCCCTGGTTACGTGGATCTCAGTGTAACACACACACACACTTCCCTGGTTACGTGGATCTCAGTGTAACACACACACACACACACACACTTCCCTGGTTACGTGGATCTCCGTGTAACACACACACACACTTCCCTGGTTACGTGGATCTCAGTGTAACACACACACACTTCCCTGGTTACGTGGATCTCGGTGTAACACACACACACACTTCCCTGGTTACGCGGATCTCAGTGTAACACACACACACACACACACACACACTTCCCTGGTTACGTGGATCTCAGTGTAACACACACACACTTCCCTGGTTACGTGGATCTCGGTGTAACACACACACACACTTCCCTGGTTACGCGGATCTCGGTGTAACACACACACACACACACACACTTCCCTGGTTACGTGGATCTCCGTGTAACCAACCTTCAGAAACACCTGTCAAGAAACAACACTGATTCATCTTTTGTTCTAAAAGCCGAACCAAACGAAAGGAAGAAATCTAATCTTGTCTGTCAAATGCATTTAAAACACATTTATAGAATAGTTGTTTAGTTTAAATTGCTCTGTAAATGTATATTGGTAACACTTTACAATAAGCTTCATTAGTTAATATATTAGCCTAACTAACATGAACTAACAATGAGCAATACATTTGTTACTGTATTTACTGTTATCTTTGTTAATGTTAAATGTCAATGTTAAAAATGAACTTGTTCATTGTTTGTTCATGTTAGTTGACAGTGCATTAACTAATGCTAACAGGATTTTAATAAAGTATTAGTAAATGTTGAAACTAACATTAACAAAGATTAATAAATGCTGCATATGTGTAGTTCATTATTAGTTCATGTTCACGAACGAACCTTATTGTAAAGTATTAGAAATCCAACTAAATGTCTACAACAGTACATAACAAAAAGACATTAATATACAGATTTTGCGAGTGTGTTTTATGTGAGAATCTCCCGTGGAGATGAGGTCGGGTGTGAGACTCATGGATATGGTTATTGTTGTGTCAGGTTATCTGATGTATTCAGTTACTCAGGAGAAACGTGGGAGGCCTTGCTGGCGTAACGTAATATGTAAGCGCTAGTGTCTCTGTCTCGCTGCTATCTACAGCATTCAAGACTCGAGACTCCTAGACACGACTATTGCGTGTGTCCCAAGTCACATACTTACACTGTGACCTAAAGTACTGTTTTTGGGAAGAAAAGTACATACTTTGGGTGTGTAGCAGAAGAGTAGACAAGCTTCGGGACGAACTACTGAAATGTCGCTTTGTTAAATGGATCCTGTCACTGTTTGAAGGGTAACTAAACCCTAAAACAACTTTTTTTAGTTAATGATCTGTAAGACTGGGGCTTTATTAATGCTGGTCATTGATTCAATTTGGCCTAATTCTTTTGACATTTGGGTATAAAGTTTTAATTCTACAATATATGGTGTAAAAACGTCTGAGCGCTGCCCTCTTCAGGTTGAACGGTGGCTACTGCAGTTGAATTTTCCTATTGGAAGTTGTGGTGCCCTGTGATGTAAGCAGGCACAAGCTAACCACGCCCTTGCCTACAGAGAGACCTGTCCCAGGTGCACGCCCCCCTCCGCTAGGCTCCGCCCACCTTTCCAGCATTTTTCAAATATTGCCAGTGGGTGGAGTCAGGCTCTGACCAGGGGTTTAGTTACCCTTTAAACTGCCCTATCAATCATCTCGTCTCAGTTAAATGAGGGAATTTAATTTAATTTCACAATTGTCTTCTGTAGAGCCGCTTTATTTGCTGAATCGAATTCATTTCAAACTTAATGAACTTTGCAACATTAACACAGTTATTGAACTGAATCAGCACTGAAATTATTTGAGCTGAATGATGACGCTATAGAGCTTGTGGCGGGAGGAGCAAACGACAGACACAGTGGGAGTGGTGTCAAGCCTCGGAGAGGCATTTATTAAATTGATTAAACATAAAATGTCCAAAAGGGGGAAATAAAGTGTTAAAATAAAAGGGGATCTGGTGTCCTCGTTGTGCCAGGGAAACGTGAAGGAAGGTTAGTGAAGAGGTGGGATGGGTCCAGGTAAGGGGGCGGTGTCCGACAGTCACACGCGTCTTCCCTGTCTCCTTGGGTAGAGGAATGAGTGGGCGGCGGCTTCGTCACATCACGAGCTGTCCTCTCCCGAGTGGCGGCTTTGGCGTCCTGGTCCGTCAGCGGCGTCACGCGTCTTCTGTGCTCGGACCGCGGGTCCGGCGACTTGCATCTCTGGCAGCGCGGGAATCCCTCCGCGCTCCCTTCCTGGACCCACGAGGACAACAGTGTGCTCGCACAGGGAAGAGACCGCTCTCCCGAGGAGAGGCGCGCTCAGCATTTAACAGGCGGCGGTGATGAGGCTTCATTCTCGTCAGGTGTGCCTCATCACACGCCGCCAATTCTCCTCATCAGCGCCCCTCCTCTCCAATTACACCCACTCCAGTCGGGAACCTGGCGAAGGGCGGCGAATTAAGGGACGGGGTGGCGCTGATTACGAGGGAGAGGCAGACGATCCGTCACAAGCTGCTTATCGAAATGTTTTCATAATTGATGAATTTTGGCTGGAAAAGAACATTTTTGGTCACGATTTGAGAGATTAGAACCAAAGTTGATGAGACAGTTGTCAGATTTCATTGGTGATTTCTAATATGAAAGTGATCTCACCTCGTCAGCAGACTTGGATTAGACAGCTTGATTCATATGGATTACTGTGTACAGTCGTGTGTTACCTTTTGAAGCTTAAAAATATTGATTACACTTTCAATGGATGGGCAAAAAATTATGAGATAGAGATAATATTAAAAATATCTATGTGGCAGTTTTTCCACGTGGTATCAAAAATGGTATATTTTTCTAGGTATCGTATCTAAATGAGAAATTCCAGTATCGTGACAACAATAATTTCTACCTTTCTGTAGATTCAAGGCCAGGAAAAAGACAGTTTTCATTGATTATAGTTGTTGAATCAATGCAGGGTTGATTTGATTTGCAACCAAGGTATGTTGGGGGTGAAAGCTCGGCATTAAAGGATTAGTTAAACTCAAAATGAAAATTTTCTGATAATCTTCTCACCCCAATGCCATCCAAGATGTTCATGTCTTTCTTTCTTCATTGGAAAAGAAATGAAGTTTTTTGAGGAAAACATTTCCTCAAATGTATGCTCCGGTCCGTTTATGAAGGATATGATCCGCGTTGCGAGCTTGAGCTCATTGTGGCGTTCCGCGCAGAAACCACTCTCATGTTGTTTTAAATTTGTGTATAGAATAACCAATTTCCACTTATTGATACTTATTATGAGTGCTTTTAGGGTTTTCAGTGATGTGCAAACTGTACTGTTCACATCTCCAAAAAATGTGTTTTGGGGTTTCATGACCGTTTAAAGGTACAATATGTAAGAATTTAGTATCAAAATATCCAAAAACCACTTGCACAGTGTTAAAGATTTCTTTCAATTGTGTACTTACATTATCCTAAATGTTTCCAGGAATTTGTAAATTCAGAGAAATTCACAATTTTAGGTAGTGCCGTCCCTGTTCACTTCGGTCGCCTGTCAATGACGTAATATCCGCGTGATCCCTGGTTTCCGCTCGTACTGCCATAGTAACCATGGCGACAGACGTGGACAACTGCGTAATGTTTAGCGGCACGCTCACACTGTTGTTGCTTCGTTCAAACATAATGGACCATGGCAAGCAGACTTTGGGACAAAAGGAGAACTAAATCGAGGATCAATATCAGCGTGGCGTTTTCGAGATGCCGAGAGCTAGCGTCCGCGACTAACTTCGACTCGACAGAGACGCCGCTCTTGCATGTACTTTATCAGACAGGTGAGCAAATGTACATAAAACTAATCAATGTGATATAGTTCAACATGATGAAATGTTAGAATATGGTCAGTATGTTATTCTAATGTTGATCTAGCTCACTGCTAGTCTCATATAGCCAACAAGCTAACGCATAGAATAACATTATAACTTTCAACACACTCAAATGCAGTTTAGTGTGATAGTGTAGACCAAGTGAAAAAGCGCTGCGTTAAGGCTCGTACACACCGGGACGAATATCGGTGCGCGTTATTCGGCAGCGTTTTTCAACGCGTTTTTTGTGTTCATACCCAAGCGATTTTGGCTGACGATGAGCCGAGTGAACATGCAAATTCATTCCCTGACATTAGATGGCGCCCATTTGCTCTGCAATACCACTCCATACCAGTTCTCTTTTATCAAGATTTTTGTTGTCGCTGTCGCGTGTGTCATATAGTTCTTTATGTTCCGACACCAACGAGACCAGCAGCTCTACATTCATCTTGCCTCGCATCTTCCTCGTCTTATTTCTTCCCGGCAGTGTAGAAGCTACTTGGCGTATATCTTCTTCGCCGTTACGTGTGTGTGCTCGGCAAGACCGTTTTGTGTTTGAGCGCCCCCAAGTTGTGTTTTACTGTAACTTCAGAAGCTCCAGACACGTGAGCAAAAGCGCCAATCTCATTGGTTGGATAGTTTTTGACGCGGCGCGTCAAACCAAAAAAACGAACCCGAGGCGTTTTTAAAAAAATGACGCTTTTACGCGTGGAGTTTTCCGCGTCGGTGTGCACACTCACATTGGCGCCCTTTGTTTAGTCACGAGGCGTTAAACGTCGGTGAATATCGCGCGCGAAATTCGTCCCGGTGTGAACAGGCCTTTACTTCACAAGTTTCATTCATCAAAAATACTGATCTGTGTGAGTAGTAATTCAGCACTTGCATGTAGTTCGGTAGAATTAAATGTTCTCTTTCCTTTATATCCGCAGGACTCGCGTGTGCCGTGTAGCGCTGATATCTGTCTCTCATTAGCACTCTCGTCCTGCTTTATCTCACAGTCATGTTAAAAAACATGAATGTTTTCACTCATCCATAATCATTATTAGATCCATCAGCACGACAGCAAGTTCCACGATTCCGCTTATTCACTGCGTCATCAACCTACGCCTTTGTAAGAGGTTAGCGACCCCCAGTGACGAAAAAGTAGCTTTAAGTAACACCTGATGCGTCATAATGTGTGTGATTATGACTGATCTGTCTATTGCTGTCCTAAAACAGGCTAGAGTTGAGCAGATCCCACAGCAGAAGCTCTAAAGTGACGTGAACCCCACACAGACCCAGCCATGCTGGAGGAGGACATGGAAGTGGCCATCAAGGTGGTGGTGGTGGGCAACGGGGCGGTCGGCAAGTCCAGCATGATCCAGCGATACTGCAAGGGCATCTTCACCAAGGACTACAAGAAGACCATTGGGGTCGACTTTCTGGAGAGACAGATCATGTAGGCATGCTTTCACGCTTCAGTCCGGTTGCTTTGAAATGCTTTTATGAGTTCTCATGCACAGCTTTTGGGTTCTGTGTTTGAACGCAGTCGCTCAGTCATTTGCAGATGTACCGATTAAAGCCGCTTTATATTGTTACAATGTCTGTAGTGTACATGAACAATGTTTACTCGTTCTCCATAGACTGAGAAATTCACGTTTATTTGTCAGCATAAGTGATTTGACAGGGCAAAACTGCAGATTATAGTTCCTCATGTTAGCATCCCCGCTACAACAACTAGCCAAACTAATCTCAAGCATTATTAAAGACAAGTAAACACTCTTAAAAAAGAACAAATAAAAAAATAGCAATCACAACGAATAGATACAACTGAACAAAGACACGATTTTCAGGTATTCAGGTTCAGAAACTAATCAAATGTAAAATAACACTGCACTGCAATAAACAAAATATACATTACAAATATAGTTACAAAAGTTATTCAGTCAAGAACTGAATATGGCCAAAAATTCATTTTTTGGTTAAATGGCGCTATACGATATATATATATCTCTGTACTTTCTACGTTTTTCTATTTGGATAAAGAAAATCTGTATTTATTAAAAAATATATATTTCACATCCTGCCCAATGATATCCTACAAACAATGTTGATATTGAAGGATATGGAAACAAATATAGTGAATGTAATGTAGGCTATGCAATATATTATGTCGTTAAAAGGTGGTTACAATCACATTACATTGTAACATTACAATCTAAAAACAAAAATAATGCTTTTGTTTTTAAATTCACTAAAGGCTAAACTAAAAATGAAAATAAAACAAAACCACGAACTAATTATATTAGCCTGCATTTGATTACCCCACTTTCATAAAAATATACTTGTAGGTTTAAAATTCCACATATGGCACATTTATTGTCTCCAACAACAAATACTTTAGCAATATGTATATTTTAGTCAGAATTAGAATAGATTCACTTGCAGAAGCTCGTCCTCTCCAAATGGACATATTTGTTTGACTTTCTAACATTTACAGATGAACAATATACCTGTGAAATGTAAGTTAAGCACTGAGGAAAGCACCACATCTCAAACGCATTAAACAGCGCAAGTATTTATCTGTCAGTCAGCAACAGTATCTGTCGGTCATCTGACAAGCTGCTTTAAACTATATCTTACCAGTTATTTTGAAGCCCTTAATATATATTATAATATAATATTTTGCTGTATGTAAACCATACCATAATATAATATTTTGCTGTATGTAAACCAGAGCACAATGCACACGTTCTGCATGGGAAACCCTAATGATACCGCATTTGCCAGAATGTGTGGTATAGAAGCAGTGTATATCACATCATAGATGTATCCCACAATGCAAAGCATTCACCTTGACCTTCCTTTTACTAAAGAAACCAGATGCCATATCAAATGTGATTTTAAAAACCTCTGGCTGCTGAATAAAACGTATATTATAGACATACAGTACAGTAGATATATTCAGTGGACAGAACTACTTTACATTTATAAGAATTTTGACATTATTTACATTTTCAAGAAACATAACAATGTAAAAATACAGAGCGGGACAAACCAGTGAAGGTGAGGAATGTGTTTTATTTGGCTGGGCTGTTGTTATTGTGACGTTTTGAGTTTAGTTTTTAACCCCATACTCACGTACTATGAAGCTGATTTTGCACTGATGTAAGACTCATCATTCCTTTGTTATGAATAATCTGATCATTACGTTTGCAGCCATCACATTCTGAATAAGTATTTTAATTGTTACTAATTTTCCAGATTATCCATTAATAGGCATTGTTATATAAACCAGTTTGAGTTAATCCATCTCAAGTGGACCATTGTAGTTTTCTTAAGCACATAATAAAATGGGCTTTTCCCCTGAATTCTTCCAGCCGTAGCTCTGCAACCAGAGCAATCTGAAGATCAGTTTTACAGCACATTGAACTTTAAAACTGCACTTTTTTCACACTTAAAGCCAGGGCAGAGTAGCAATTTTTTACTAGGATATCGGCTGTTTATTAGTACTTATAAAGCACATATTAATGCCTTATTCTGCATGATATTCTACATGCCTTAATCGACCCAATACCTAAATTTAACAACTACCTTATTAACTATTAATAAGCAGTAATTAGGAGTTTACTGAGGCAAAAGTTGTAGTTAATAGTGAGAATTGTACACTAATCTAATTTAAAGTGTGACTGTGAGTTTATATCTCATAATTCATAAGACTTTTTGCTTGCAGTTGAGTTAGTAACACTTTACAATAAGGTTTCATTAGTTAACTACCTTAGTTAACATGAACTAAATACTTCTACAGCATTTATTAATCTTAGTTAATTTCAACATTTACTAATACATTATTAAAATCAAAGGTTGTAATTGTTAACATTAGTGAACATGTTAGTTCAATGCACAATGAACTAACATGAACAAACAACGAACAGCTGGATTTATATTAACTAACATTAACAAAGATGAATAAATACAGTAACACATGTATTGCTCATTGTTAGTTCATGTTAGTTAATGCATAAACTAATGTTAACTAATGAAAGTGTTACTGTTGAGTTTATATCTCGCAATTCAGACTTTTTTCTCTCAGTTCTGAGTTTTTAGATTATATCTCGTAATTCTTCTGACTTCATATATCACAATTGCAAGTTTATGTCTTGTAATTCTGACTTTAAAAAAACAAACAAACATGATTTACTTTAAATTTCGTGGTGGAAACAAGCTTCTAATTATTATAATCTCTCAAAAGAAATGAAGAAAATCAAAAATGAATTTTCATACTGAGATATATTTTGCCAGTACCACCCATGTGTTTCATATTCTGCTTTTTGCATATACTACAGTATGTTGATCAGTATCCACTCATACGTGCTGTACATAACATCCTCAAGTGGTCACAGAAACAGAAACAAATGCCAGTAAACAAGAGATGATTGAACACTTCTGAACAATCAGGTTTCCTGTTCCCATTTAAATATGGGAAATGATAAATAACACGCGGTGACGCTCAGGCAACCCCTTGGGAAAAGTAGATTTTCTTCCTGGCTCTTGCTAACGTGAGATGTGACATCAGCAGGGAACGCCAGAGAAAATCTGTGCGGTTTACTGGTTGTACACATAAATCGAAACGAGGAACAAATGAGCTGTCGGTGGCGTCATCGGTTTCAAAGCGTAGTCAAACTGAGAGCGAAAGCAGGGACCAGCCGCATAAACACTTAAAGGGTTAGTTCACCCAAAAATGAAAATGATGTCATTAATGACTCTCCCTCGTGTCGCTCCAAGCCCGTAAGACCTCCGTTCATCTTCAGAACACAGTTTAAGATATTTTAGATTTAGTCCGAGAGCTTTCTGTCCCTCCATTGTAAATGTGTGTACGGTATACTGTCCTTGTCCAGAAAGGAAATAAAGACATCATCAAAGTAGTCCATGTGACATCAGTGGGTTAGTTAGAGTGTGTTGAAGCATCGAAAATACATTTTGGTCCAAAAATAACAAAAACTAGGACTTTATTCAGCATTGTATTGTCTTCCGGTTCTGTTGTGGATCCGCGTTCAGTGCCGCCGCTGACGTGTGTCTGGTGTGTGTGTGTGTGTGTGTATTCTGGTTCTGTTGTGGATCCGCGTTCAGTGCCGCTGCTGACGTGTGTCTGGTGTGTGTGTGTGTGTATTCTGGTGTATTCTGGTCATCAACTGGTTCTGTTGTGGATCCGCGTTCAGTGCCGCTGCTGACGTAAGACGCTGCTGACGTGTGTCTGGTGTGTGTGTGTGTGTGTGTGTGTGTGTGTGTGTGTGTGTATTCTGGTTCTGTTGTGGATCCGCGTTCAGTGCCGCCGCTGACGTGTGTCTGGTGTGTGCGTCAGCAGCGACACCGAACGCGGATCCACAACAGAACCAGAATACACACACACACACACACACACACACACACACCAGACACACGTCAGCAGCGTCTTACGTCAGCGGCGGCACTGAACGCGGATCCACAACAGAACCAGAATACACACACACACACACACACACACACACACACCAGACACACGTCAGCAGCGTCTTACGTCAGCGGCGGCACTGAACGCGGATCCACAACAGAACCGGAAGACAATACAATGCTGAATAAAGTCCTAGTTTTTGTTATTTTTGGACCAAAATGTATTTTCGATGCTTCAACACACTCTAACTAACCCACTGATGTCACATGGACTACTTTGATGATGTCTTTATCTCCTTTCTGGACAAGGACAGTATACCGTACACACATTTTCAATGGAGGGACAGAAAGCTCTCGGACTAAATCTAAAATATCTTAAACTGTGTTCTGAAGATGAACGGAGGTCTGACGGGCTTGGAGCGACACGAGGGAGAGTCATTAATGACATCATTTTAATTTTTGGGTGAACTAACCCTTTAAAGGCTTATTTCACCCAAAATTGAAAATTAGCCCATGATTTACTCACCCTGAAGTCATCCTATACCATGACTTTCTTCTTTTAGCCAAACACAATCGGAGTTAAATAAAAAAATATGCTCATACAAGTTTTATAATGGGACTGAATGGTGCCTTAGAAGCCGCAAAAAAAGCGCATCCATCCATCATAACAATAATCCATACGCCTCCACGGGTTGATCAAAGTTTTTTGGAAATTATGGGATATATATATATATATTTCTTTGGTTGAACAAACCCTTTAAAATTAGTCTTAAGAATTAGCCTGACCAACAAGCAAGCAGTTAATTAGGGCTAATCAGTCTTACTTGTATTCAAATTAGACCAATTTATCTTTTTATGCAACTGACTTAAAGTTATGACCAGTCTTGACTAGTCTAAGCAGTTTATGACCCAATTATTTGATGTAACTTGCGTTTTAAAGACTTTTTCATTGCACTCTTAAAAAACAAAGGTTCTTTTATTGGTTCTTTAACATCCATAGAAACTTTCCATTCCACAAAAGATCTTCACACTGGAAAAAAATTATTTATATTTACGGGTGTCACGATTCGATAGATATCATGATACTGAACTCACGATACGATATTATTGCGATACTCCAAGACATATCCTAACAAAAAATGTACTGTTGATTAAAATGCTAAATTTAACATTACATTGTGTGTGTAAATGAATAGGCTTGGACTTGGTGCTAAAACCCAAAGCTGGACAATAGAGACACCAGAATAACAATATTCATGATTCTGAAGCTGAAAACACAGAATTATTTTAGACAAATATGCTTTCTCTGTCACTGACTAGATATATTTATAATAATGTAGGCCACTTTATACTGGTAACAAGACATTTGGCATTATTAGGACCCACAAATATCCCCCCATTGCATTATTATACATTATATTCAACATATATAGTAGTTTAATGTTGTAATGACACTAAAACTCTGTAAACTTAAATTTTTTCTCACACACTACAGTGATTTTTTATTTTGGTTGATTATACACAATACATATTAGTCACTATATACACACGATACATATTATTGCATTTTTGTATTGCGATAAATTGTTACACCTCTATTTATATTAGAACAAAATGATTCTTTTCTAATAACTGTTCACTGAAGGGTTATTTTGGGACCCAAAGTAGTTTTTCTATGGCATTTCTGTGAAAACTCATTTTAAACCCTATTTTAAAGAGCTATTAGACGTGTGCATATACAGTATGAGTGTTAAGTTTGTTTGCATGTGTTCCAGAGTGAACGACGAGGACGTGAGATTGATGTTGTGGGACACGGCAGGACAGGAGGAGTTTGACGCCATCACCAAGGCCTATTACAGAGGTGCGAGTGTGTTCCCATACTGGGCTGTCTCTGCTGTGTGAGTGTGTGTGTGACGTGTGATCGTCCCGCAGGAGCTCAGGCGTGTGTGCTGGTGTTCTCCACCACCGACAGAGACTCGTTCGAGGCCATCGGCAGCTGGAGGGAGAAGGTGGAGATGGAGGTGGGCGACATTCCCACGGTCCTGGTGCAGAACAAGATCGATCTGCTGGACGACACCGTGATCAAGAAGTAAGAGTCAGTGATGCGCTTTAAAGGTGGCATTTTAGCGGCATCTAGTGGTGAGGTTGCGAATTGGACCCAACGGAAGTTACGGTGGCCGACAGGAAGTGATGTCGTCGTCTGAGACAGCAGAGAGTAGCCAGTTAAAGGGGTGGTTGATTATGATTCGACTCTTTTAACTGTAGTTAGTGTGTAATGTTGCTGTTTGAGCATTAACAACATCTGCAAATTTACAACGCTCAAAGTTCAAAGCAAAAGGAGATTGTTTTTTTAAAAGAAATTGCTTTTTAAGGACTACAACAAACGGCTGGTAGGAACTACACAAGCATCATTAACCTTAAATTTACATAAACCCCGCCCCCGTAACATGATTTAAGCTGCGTTCACACTACAAGCGACTTTGTTGCTGCCGGTCGCCAACAAATACGTTTTCTTGCTGCTACAAACAACCATTTTGGAAGGAAAAGTCTAAATATAAATGGAATCAGTACATAAAATGCATAATATTAAAGATGAACAAGAAACAGTGAGTGCTCTTTGCCATCGCGGCTATTTAACTGCAGCAAACGGGCAAATGCCGGTCTATCTGTGTTCCCGAAACCCTTCAGGCACGGAGTCAGTACGGTGAACACCACTGTATGTACACGAGATATATCATACACTCACCTAAAGGATTATTAGGAACACCTGTTCAATTTCTCATTAATGCAATTATCTAATCAACCAATCACATGGCAGTTGCTTCAATGCATTTAGGGGTGTGGTCCTGGTCAAGACAATCTCCTGAACTCCAAACTGAATGTCAGAATGGGAAAGAAAGGTGATTTAAGCATTATTGAGCGTGGCATGGTTGTTGGTGCCAGACGGGCCGGTCTGAGTATTTCACAATCTGCTCAGTTACTGGGATTTTCACGCACAACCATTTCTAGGGTTTACAAAGAATGGTGTGAAAAGGGAAAAACATCCAGTGAGCGGCAGTCCTGTGGGCGAAAATGCCTTGTTGATGCTAGAGGTCAGAGGAGAATGGGCCGACTGATTCAAGCTGATAGAAGAGCAACTTTGACTGAAATAACCACTCGTTACAACCGAGGTATGCAGCAAAGCATTTGTGAAGCCACAACACGCACAACCTTGAGGTGGATGGGCTACAACAGCAGAAGACCCCACCGGGTACCACTCATCTCCACTACAAATAGGAAAAAGAGGCTACAATTTGCAAGAGCTCACCAAAATTGGACAGTTGAAGACTGGAGAAATGTTGCCTGGTCTGATGAGTCTCGATTTCTGTTGAGACATTCAGATGGTAGAGTAAGAATTTGGCGTAAACAGAATGAGAACATGGATCCATCATGGCTTGTTACCACTGTGCAGGCTGGTGGTGGTGGTGTAATGGTGTGGGGGATGTTTTCTTGGCACACTTTAGGCCCCTTAGTGCCAATTGGGCATCGTTTAAATGCCACGGCCTACCTGAGCATTGTTTCTGACCATGTCCATCCCTTTATGGCCACCATGTACCCATCCTCTGATGGCTACTTCCAGCAGGATAATGCACCATGTCACAAAGCTCGAATCATTTCAAATTGGTTTCTTGAACATGACAATGAGTTCACTGTACTAAAATGGCCCCCACAGTCACCAGATCTCAACCCAATAGAGCATCTTTGGGATGTGGTGGAACGGGAGCTTCGAGCCCTGGATGTGCATCCCACAAATCTCCATCAACTGCAAGATGCTATCCTATCAATATGGGCCAACATTTCTAAAGAATGCTTTCAGCACCTTGTTGAATCAATGCCACATAGAATTAAGGCAGTTCTGAAGGCGAAAGGGGGTCAAACACAGTATTAGTATGGTGTTCCTAATAATCCTTTAGGTGAGTGTAGAATTATAGGAGTTTTTGACTGCTAAAATGAGCTTCTCGTTCAACTAGCCTCGGTCAGACTCAGCACTGAAGAGTGAAATGCTCCACTGACTTCACTCCTATTGGTTGCCGCTCCCGAAAGTCGCTCTTCATTTGCATAAAGTTAAACAGATCTCAACTTTGTCGCGTCGCCAGACACACCCCACCGGTCGCTGTCGCGCGTGTCGCCGGAAATCTCCCGCTCCCAATTGAAATGAATGCTATTGTGTCGTCGCTTGTAGTGTGAACGAGGCTTTATAGGTTATTAAGACAGAATATGCTAATCAATGACTAGAAGAAAACTACACATAAGCTACATAAATTCATCAACTAATGTCTACATGTTGTCACTTCTTCTTGAGTCTCTCCATCTGTGTCCGACTCCGGTTTTAAAATAAAAGGCTAAAAGTTTTTGAAATGTTTAGTGCATGTGTGTGTGTGAGGTAAAAGGACACAAGCTCTTGAAGCTCCGCCCCCTGTGCCGGGAGCAGCAACTCATTTGCATTTAAAGGGACAGACGCAAAAACTATGCGATTTTGCTCACCCTCAAAAAGTGACAATTTTAACATATCTGTGTATAAATATAAAAATATCTGTGGGGTATTTTGAGCTAAAACTTCATATACACACTGGGGACAACTGAGACTTATTTTACATCTTGTGAAAAGGGCATTATAGCACACCTTTAAGCAATGAGGTGTCTTTAACAAAGATAAATTAAGAAATTAGGTTTACTTGATTTTTTCAGTAAAACAATATGTTATTGCGAATATTATTGTTACTTGTTCTTCATTGTGTCAGTGTTTTATTCGCTGACTTTAGCAGCTTTTGTGCACGAAGATCAACATAGTGACGAAACGCGTGTGTCCGCTCAGGGCCACTGTAGAAACATGTCGATGTAAGCGGACCCGCGGTGTGTGTAGATAAATGGCTCATCTAAGGTAATAAAAACATAACGGTTCATTACTTAAGGTCTTTAGACACCACTAAAAACATAGTTATGTATATGACATTGCATAACTGTCTACAGATCCTCCTAAATATTACACAACGCAACTCACGTGGCGGTCGAAAATGACAGAATGTACTATATTTTAGTTTGATAATGTTTTTTTATTTAATATTTTGTGTTTTTAGGGGATTTTAGGGTACTACATTATATTTACGCAGTATTTATAATGTATTTATTCTCGTTTTGAGCATAGACCTGAAAATTTAATTTCCAACTTAATTTGTCATAAATCTTGAATGCTTTAAAGCACAGACTGAAGTTTGATCTCTGTTTAAAGTCAACTCGACACTTGGCAGATTATTGCAGAAGTGAAAAAAGTTTAAAAAATGAACAGAATTTTATGTTTATTGTTATTAAAAATACAAAAAATACGATTTAAGATTTTTAAAACACGTCTTACTCTAAAACTGCAAGAAAATTAAAGCCATTAATCTAAACAAGTTGTTCCAAATTTGAGCTTATATCTCAAAAAATAAGTTTTTGTGAGATTTGTTTGTCCGCAGTACCAAAACTAGATGAAATGTGTCTCCCATTCATTTCCAATGCGCTCATTTTAGACTGTGAACTATTATACAAGTGTGACTATTTTTTTCAGGACCATTTAACCTTTTCGAACTTTTAATAATTATATGAATAACAAAGGGTTTATGAAGTTAAATGCATAAAAGTAAATAAAAGATAAATATGCATACGACCAAGAGGCCAACAGTGGTAAATAATGTAATTACACCTTTACGTGTGTGTGTGTGTGTGTGTGTGTGTGTGTGTGTGTGTGTGTGTGTGTGTGTGTGTGTGTGTGTGTGTGTGTGTGTGTGTGTGTGTGTGTGTGTGTGTGTGTGTGTGTGTGTGTGTGTGTGTGTGTGTGTGTGTGTGTTGCTTCAGTGAAGAGGCCGAAGGTCTTGCTAAGAGGCTGAAACTGAGATTCTACCGCACATCAGTGAAGGAAGATCTCAACGTCAATGAAGGTGAGAGATGAAGCTTTTCCGCTCACTAAACTGATTATGCTTTATTATTAAATAACACAATATATTTGTTGTAGTTTTTAAGTATCTGGCTGACAAATATCTGCATCGACTCAAGCAACAGTCAGCGGAGGAGAGCGAGGTTGTTCACACGTCCAGCAATAAAATAGGTAAGACTGAACTTTTGTGTCATTACTTTATAAACGGCTTTGTTAAAATGTAGCATTCTCTCTTTTTTTTTCTTTTTTTTAAAAGAAATTAATAATTTTATTAATTTAAAAAAAAAATCGTTTTCAAATAAATGTTGTTCTTTTGAACTTTCTATTCATCAAAGAATCCTGAAAACAAAGTATCACGGTTTCCACAAAAATATGAAAAAGCAGCAAAACTGTTTTCAACATCGATAATAATCATAAATGTTTCCTGAGCAGCAAATCATCATATAAGAGTGATTTCTGAAGGATCATGTGACACTGAAGACTGGAGTAATGATGCTGAAAATTCAGCTTTGATCACAGGAATAAATTACACTTTACAATACACTCACCTAAAGGATTATTAGGAACACCATACTAATACTGTGTTTGACCCCCTTTCGCCTTCAGAACTGCCTTAATTCTACATGGCATTGATTCAACAAGGTGCTGAAAGCATTCTTTAGAAATGTTGGCCCATATTGATAGGATAGCATCTTGCAGTTGATGGAGATTTGTGGGATGCACATCCAGGGCACGAAGCTCCCGTTCCACCACATCCCAAAGATGCTCTATTGACCGTTCGCAAAAGCCACGCCCCCTAGTTATTGTTGCTACGCCCGTCAAACAAATGGTCAAAACGACCAGCGCCACAGATTGCCATGACGGGAAGAGGTGCGTCAGTGACCTTTTTTAGAGCAATACCTCCGCGATATCCTCCAGATCGAGGCAAAAGGGGTTATAGTATGCAGTGGAGCGATATATTCAAAATATAAAAATACGCAATGAAGGAGACACGACTACTATCGAGCCTAATAATGCTCTCAAGCTCTCAAACCGGTCTCAAGCGAAATCTGAGAAACCCCATGACCTGTAACGTTAGCAGCTACCTCAAATGCAACCAGCACAGCCTTGAAGAAGATGATTTAATAAGCTGTTTCAGTGGCTAATTGTTTAAAGTTAGAAATATATAACTTGCGCTTTGCCTCAGATACAGGATTATTCATTCGCTTTAACAAGCAGGTTGTTCATTACCACGGCAACCGCTTGCGTGTCATGCTGAATGCGATTGTCGTGTTTAAAAAGTAACTATACATAATAGACGGAAAGATGCAGATAACCATACATTATTTCTATTCGTTACGATATTGATATGAACTGATGTTGTCAAGTAAGCTTCATGCGTTCCCCGTTGCGAACGTGCACTCCTCTAACGTTAGCTAGTCTAAACTGTAGTCTACGGGTGCTGCTCTGCTGCTCATTTCCCCCCGAAAATATCATGTTAACAACAACACTTTAGAAAACGTACTTCCTTTGTGGATCCTCTTGATCTGCTTTCTCCATGTGTCTTTGACTAATCTCATTGTCTCAGTCTCACGCACACTGCACGTGAGTTAACCATGTTCGACACATGTAACTGGGAGTGGGGCCGTCCACACTGTTTGATCCATTGTAGGCACCGCGCACGTTGTGTTTTCGGCTTTTGAAACAGAAAGAACACAACTCCTCCAGACAATCTCTCGGGGTATCTAGTGTCCGATTTACAAACGCCGTGGGCTTCACCATCTTGCTTGGAGTCAATGTTTGACGGACCTGCTCACATAGTAACGGTTGCTATGATGTGTGATTGGACAATGGCCGTTTTGGGGGAGGGGCCTGCGAACGGTCAATTGGGTTGAGATCTGGTGACTGTGGGGGCCATTTTAGTACAGTGAACTCATTGTCATGTTCAAGAAACCAATTTGAAATGATTCGAGCTTTGTGACATGGTGCATTATCCTGCTGGAAGTAGCCATCAGAGGATGGGTACATGGTGGCCATAAAGGGATGGACATGGTCAGAAACAATGCTCAGGTAGGCCGTGGCATTTAAACGATGCCCAATTGGCACTAAGGGGCCTAAAGTGTGCCAAGAAAACATCCCCCACACCATTACACCACCACCACCAGCCTGCACAGTGGGAACAAGGCATGATGGATCCATGTTCTCATTCTGTTTACGCCAAATTCTGACTCTCCAGAATCCAGAATCGGTCTGTCTTCACCGGCCAAAGGTGGTCAGCGCAGACCACAACGATCTGCCCAGGTCTGTCGGTCCTGGGCGAGCCCCATCCAATTGTGTCCCAGATCTTGTCGTAGCGAGTCGCGCCATCGTGTTGCAGGGCGTCCGCGTGGCCGCTTGATGTCAATCGGCAGATTTTGGTGAGCTCTTGCAAATTGTAGCCTCTTTTTCCTATTTGTAGTGGAGATGAGTGGTACCCGGTGGGGTCTTCTGCTGTTGTAGCCCATCCGCCTCAAGGTTGTGTGTGTTGTGGCTTCACAAATGCTTTGCTGCATACCTCGGTTGTAACGAGTGGTTATTTCAGTCAAAGTTGCTCTTCTATCAGCTTGAATCAGTCGGCCCATTCTCCTCTGACCTCTAGCATCAACAAGGCATTTTCGCCCACAGGACTGCCGCATACTGGATGTTTTTCCCTTTTCACACCATTCTTTGTAAACCCTAGAAATGGTTGTGCGTGAAAATCCCAGTAACTGAGCAGATTGTGAAATACTCAGACCGGCCCGTCTGGCACCAACAACCATGCCACGCTCAAAATTGCTTAAATCACCTTTCTTTCCCATTCTGACATTCAGTTTGGAGTTCAGGAGATTGTCTTGACCAGGACCACACCCCTAAATGCATTGAAGCAACTGCCATGTGATTGGTTGATTAGATAATTGCATTAATGAGAAATTGAACAGGTGTTCCTAATAATCCTTTAGGTGAGTGTATATTCACATAGAAAACACTTATTTTTAATTGTAATAATATTTCACAATATTACGGTTTGTACTGAATTTTTCAACAAATAAATACATCCTTGGTGAGCAGAAGATATATATATATATATATATATACACTCACCGGCCACTTTATTAGGTACCCCATGCTAGTAACGGGTTGGACCCCCTTTTGCCTTCAGAACTGCCTCAATTCTTCGTGGCATAGATTCAACAAGGTGCTGGAAGCATTCCTCAGGGAGTTTGGTCCATATTGACATGATGGCATCACACAGTTGCCGCAGATTTGTCGGCTGCACATCCATGATGCGAATCTCCCGTTCCACCACATCCCAAAGATGCTCTATTGGGTTGAGATCTGGTGACTGTGGAGGCCATTTTAGTACAGTGAACTCATTGTCATGTTCAAGAAACCAATTTGAAATGATTAGAGCTTTGTGACATGGTGGAAGTAGCCATCAGAGGATGGGTACATGGTGGCCATAAAGGGATGGACATGGTCAGAAACAATGCTCAGGTAGGCCGTGGCATTTAAACGATGCCCAATTGGCACTAAGGGGCCTAAAGTGTGCCAGGAAAACATCCCCCACACCATTACACCACCACCACCAGCCTGCACAGTGGTAACAAGGCATGATGGTTCCATGTTCTCATTCTGTTTACGCCAAATTCTGACTCTAACATCTGAATGTCTCAACAGAAATCGAGACTCATCAGACCAGGCAACATTTTTCCAGTCTTCAACTGTTCAATTTTGGTGAGCTCTTGCAAATTGTAGCCTCTTTTTCCTATTTGTAGTGGAGATGAGTGGTACCCGGTGGAGTCTTCTGCTGTTGTAGCCCATCCGCCTCAAGGTTGTGCGTGTTGTGGCTTCACAAATGCTTTGCTGCATACCTCGGTTGTAACGAGTGGTTATTTCAGTCACTGTTGCCCTTCTATCAGCTCGAACCAGTCTGGCCATTCTCCTCTGACCTCTGGCATCAACAAGGCATTTCCGCCCACAGAACTGCCGCTCACTGGATGTTTTTTCTTTTTCGGACCATTCTCTGTAAACCCTAGAGATGGTTGTGCGTGAAAATCCCAGTAGATTAGCAGTTTCTGAAATACTCAGACCAGCCCTTCTGGCACCAACAATCATGCCACGTTCAAAGTCACTCAAATCAACTTTCTTCCCCATACTGATGCTCGGTTTGAACTGCAGGAGATTGTCTTGACCATGTCTACATGCCTAAATGCACTGAGTTGCCGCCATGTGATTGGCTGCTTAGAAATTAAGTGTTAACGAGCAGTTGGACAGGTGTACCTAATAAAGTGGCCGGTGAGTGTATATATATATAATTATTTATTTATTTATTTTTTGACTAAGCTAACCAACCAAACCTTGACACCCACTCTCATTAATATAGGTTTTATTTTTTATTTTTATTTTTTTGCATATTTAACCAACAGTGCCAGTGTTTATCAACCTTCAGATGTATCATGATCGTGCATTTGTATATAGTCTCTTGCTCTTTTTCCCCCAGGTGTTTTTAACACTTCCGGCGGCACTCATCCGAACCAGAACAGCGGCGATCTGAACGGGCGTGATGTCATCAACCTGCGACCAAACAAGCAGAGGACGAAGAAAACGAAAAACCCGTTCGGCGGCTGCAGACTCCTGTAGAACGGCTTCATATCGAGTGTGTCGTACGTCACGGAGTCCTGTGGATGAGTGTGAGAGCTGCAACGGCTCCAAACGCTCGTTTCTGCGCCAATAGCAGCATCCGTCACAATCACAGAGCTAATACGACACACACACATGCTCTACTGGCGCAGAAGTGACTCGACGGAGTCAAACCCTCAGTGAGCGACGGGAAATTGGAGGTCTGTTAAGATATTTTTGTACGCGTATTCAAATCTTTTGGACACTGCCCCGTCCTCTCATTTTAGCAATGATTGTGGCTCAAAATTGAATCTATGTTCTCACAGATGTGCATTATTTGATGTGGTACACAGCAGGGTAATATTCAGATGTTCTCTAATGAGATTAATTACACACCATTTGTGCATTTGGACTGTTCATCGTTTGTGCAATATGTTCGTATGGGTGGAGATGCATATTTGCAATCTTCCCTTAAAAGTAATGTTCATTTGTTTCTTATATGAGCAGTGTCATGAAGTTCAACCCATATGTTCTTATAGGTATTTTTGTATGAGAAATGTAGTAAAGTAACGACTTACTGAAATCCGTGACATTTAACACAGTGCCAAAATGTTTCTACTTGTCCGAAATGTAAATAGCGTCAGTAAATGGTTGAACGAGTCATATTTTTTAGATATTATTTCAAATGCAATCAACATCCTTGATATGCATCAATATGCTCTTCTGAGACTCTGTCATATTCGAACTCAATACCAAATGCAAGAGATGAATTATATAAACATATTCTTTTGGAATAAGGAAGTTTAACTTTTTTATTTTTTATTATTATTCATTTGCTGACAATGCTTCAGATATTAAAGCACACGACATCATCATACACTTACTGCTAGGGCTGGGCGATATAGCTACTAAAAATATATATTGATATTATTAAGCCTCTATGGAGATATTCCACATTTATCTTAATATATATATATATATATATATATATATATATATGCATTTACTTTGAAGTGGCATAAAACTAAAATGTTCACACTAACATGCAGTAAAAATCTTTTTTTTAATTAAATGAACAGAATTGCAATTATATTATAACTTATTTTTAATCATTTTCATTCATATGCACCAATGTAATAAAAACTAAACATCAGTATTTGGTTACATATATTGTTGTACTATTTTTTACTAAAACATTGCAGGAGCATTAAAAAAAACCATTGAGCAATCATATTCTTATAGTTTCTTTTTCAAAAACATTGATGCATAATTAATAATAACAAGAATTTCTTTTCATTAATCCAGGTGTGCCTGGCCTCAGTAACAATAATCAGGCACACCTGGATTAATCAGTTTGTCCAATAATGACAGACAGGAAACAAATGGCTGGCTGAAGTTCAGGAAGTAGTGAAGCTGTGGCATAAAGCCTATTCTTACTAGTAGCAATTACAATTAAAGAGCTCTCTAATTCGATTATTAGTAAAAATTACAATTAAAGAGCTGTCTAATTCAAATATTACTAGTAAAAATTACAATTAAAGAGCTCTCTAATTCGATTATTAGTAAAAATTACAATTAAAGAGCTCTAATTCGATGATTACTAGTAAAAATTACAGTTAAAGAGCTCTCTAATTCGATTATTACTAGTAAAAATGACCATTAAAGAGCTCTCTAATTCGATGATTACTAGTAAAAATGACAATTAAAGAGCTCTCTAATTCGATTATTACTAGTAAAAATTACAATTAAAGAGCTTTCTAATTCGATTATTAGTAGTAAAAATTACAATTAAAGAGCTCTCTAATTCGATTATTAGTAGTAAAAATTACAATTAAAGAGCTCTCTAATTCGATTATTAGTAAAAATTACAATTAAAGAGCTTTCTAATTCGATTATTAGTAAAAATTACAGTTAAAGAGCTTTCTAATTCGATTATTACTAGTAAAAATGACAATTAAAGAGCTTTCTAATTCGATGATTACTAGTAAAAATGACAATTAAAGAGCTCTCTAATTCGATTATTACTAGTAAAAATTACAATTAAAGAGCTTTCTAATTCGATGATTACTAGTAAAAATTACAGTTAAAGAGCTCTCTAATTCGATTATTACTAGTAAAAATTACAATTAAAGAGCTCTCTAATTCGATGATTACTAGTAAAAATGACAATTAAAGAGCTCTCTAATTCAATTATTACTAGTAAAAATTACAATTAAAGAGCTTTCTAATTCGATTATTAGTAGTAAAAATTACAATTAAAGAGCTCTCTAATTCGATTATTAGTAGTAAAAAATACAATTAAAGAGCTTTCTAATTCGATTATTAGTAAAAATTACAGTTAAAGAGCTTTCTAATTCGATTATTACTAGTAAAAATGACAATTAAAGAGCTTTCTAATTCGATGATTACTAGTAAAAATGACAATTAAAGAGCTCTCTAATTCGATTATTACTAGTAAAAATTACAATTAAAGAGCTTTCTAATTCGATGATTACTAGTAAAAATTACAGTTAAAGAGCTCTCTAATTCGATTATTACTAGTAAAAATTACAATTAAAGAGCTCTCTAATTCGATGATTACTAGTAAAAATGACAATTAAAGAGCTCTCTAATTCAATTATTACTAGTAAAAATTACAATTAAAGAGCTTTCTAATTCGATTATTAGTAGTAAAAATTACAATTAAAGAGCTCTCTAATTCGATTATTAGTAGTAAAAAATACAATTAAAGAGCTTTCTAATTCGATTATTAGTAAAAATTACAGTTAAAGAGCTTTCTAATTCGATTATTACTAGTAAAAATGACAATTAAAGAGCTTTCTAATTCGATGATTACTAGTAAAAATGACAATTAAAGAGCTCTCTAATTCGATTATTACTAGTAAAAATTACAATTAAAGAGCTTTCTAATTCGATTATTAGTAAAAATTACAATTAAAGAGCTCTCTAATTCGATTATTACTAGTAAAAATTACAATTAAAGAGCTTTCTAATTCGATTATTAGTAAAAATTACAATTAAAGAGCTCTCTAATTCGATTATTACTAGTAAAAATTACAATTAAAGAGCTTTCTAATTCGATTATTAGTAAAAATTACAATTAAAGAGCTCTCTAATTCGATTATTACTAGTAAAAATTACAATTAAAGAGCTTTCTAATTCGATTATTAGTAAAAGTTACAATTAAAGAGCTCTCTAATTCGATTATTACTAGTAGAAATTACAATTAAAGAGCTCTCTAATTCGATTATTACTAGTAAAAATTACAATTAAAGAGCTCTCTAATTCGATTATTAGTAAAAATACAATTAAAGAGCTCTCTAATTCGATTATTACTAGTAAAAATTACAATTAAAGAGCTCTCTAATTCGATTATTAGTAAAAATTACAATTAAAGAGCTCTCTAATTCGATTATTACTAGTAAAAATTACAATTAAAGAGCTCTCTAATTCGATTATTACTAGTAAAAATTACAATTAAAGAGCTCTCTAATCCGATTATTACTAGTAAAAATTACAATTAAAGAGCTCTCTAATCCGATTATTACTAGTAAAAATTACAATTAAAGAGCTCTCTAATCCGATTATTACTAGTAAAAATTACAATTAAAGAGCTCTCTAATTCGATGATTACTAGTAAAAATGACAATTAAAGAGCTCTCTAATTCAATTATTACTAGTAAAAATTACAATTAAAGAGCTTTCTAATTCGATTATTAGTAGTAAAAATTACAATTAAAGAGCTCTCTAATTCGATTATTAGTAGTAAAAAATACAATTAAAGAGCTTTCTAATTCGATTATTAGTAAAAATTACAGTTAAAGAGCTTTCTAATTCGATTATTACTAGTAAAAATGACAATTAAAGAGCTTTCTAATTCGATGATTACTAGTAAAAATGACAATTAAAGAGCTCTCTAATTCGATTATTACTAGTAAAAATTACAATTAAAGAGCTTTCTAATTCGATGATTACTAGTAAAAATTACAGTTAAAGAGCTCTCTAATTCGATTATTACTAGTAAAAATTACAATTAAAGAGCTCTCTAATTCGATGATTACTAGTAAAAATGACAATTAAAGAGCTCTCTAATTCAATTATTACTAGTAAAAATTACAATTAAAGAGCTTTCTAATTCGATTATTAGTAGTAAAAATTACAATTAAAGAGCTCTCTAATTCGATTATTAGTAGTAAAAATACAATTAAAGAGCTTTCTAATTCGATTATTAGTAAAAATTACAGTTAAAGAGCTTTCTAATTCGATTATTACTAGTAAAAATGACAATTAAAGAGCTTTCTAATTCGATGATTACTAGTAAAAATGACAATTAAAGAGCTCTCTAATTCGATTATTACTAGTAAAAATTACAATTAAAGAGCTTTCTAATTCGATTATTAGTAAAAATTACAATTAAAGAGCTCTCTAATTCGATTATTACTAGTAAAAATTACAATTAAAGAGCTTTCTAATTCGATTATTAGTAAAAATTACAATTAAAGAGCTCTCTAATTCGATTATTACTAGTAAAAATTACAATTAAAGAGCTTTCTAATTCGATTATTAGTAAAAATTACAATTAAAGAGCTCTCTAATTCGATTATTACTAGTAAAAATTACAATTAAAGAGCTTTCTAATTCGATTATTAGTAAAAGTTACAATTAAAGAGCTCTCTAATTCGATTATTACTAGTAAAAATTACAATTAAAGAGCTCTCTAATTCGATTATTACTAGTAAAAATTACAATTAAAGAGCTCTCTAATTCGATTATTAGTAAAAATTACAATTAAAGAGCTCTCTAATTCGATTATTACTAGTAAAAATTACAATTAAAGAGCTCTCTAATTCGATTATTAGTAAAAATTACAATTAAAGAGCTCTCTAATTCGATTATTACTAGTAAAAATTACAATTAAAGAGCTCTCTAATTCGATTATTACTAGTAAAAATTACAATTAAAGAGCTCTCTAATCCGATTATTACTAGTAAAAATTACAATTAAAGAGCTCTCTAATCCGATTATTACTAGTAAAAATTACTATTAAAGAGCTCTCTAATTCAATTATTACTAGTAAAAATTACAATTAAAGAGCTTTCTAATTCGATTATTAGTAAAAATTACAATTAAAGAGCTCTCTAATTCGATTATTACTAGTAAAAATTACAATTAAAGAGCTCTCTAATTCGATGATTACTAGTAAAAATGACAATTAAAGAGCTCTCTAATTCGATTATTACTAGTAAAAATTACAATTAAAGAGCTCTCTAATTCGATTATTACTAGTAAAAATTACAATTAAAGAGCTTTCTAATTCGATTATTAGTAAAAATTACAATTAAAGAGCTCTCTAATTAGATTATTACTAGTAAAAATTACAATTAAAGAGCTCTCTAATTCGATTATTACTAGTAAAAATTACAATTAAAGAGCTTTCTAATTCGATTATTAGTAAAAATTACATTTAAAGAGCTCTCTAATTCGATTATTACTAGTAACAATTACATTTAAAGAGCTCTCTAATTCGATTATTAGGAACAATTACATTTAAAGAGCTCTCTAATTCGATTATTACTAGTAACAATTCCAATTAGAGAGCACAAATTAATTTTTACTAGTCATATGTCTCCACTGACTTAGAGAACTCTCTAATTCAGTTGTTACTTGTAAGAATGCAATTGCAGAGCTCTTTAATTCAATTACAGAGCTCTGCAATTATACATATCTTTATTTCGTCTTTTTACTAGTAAAAATTATATTTGAGAGCTCTGTAATCAAAAATGAATGGAAGTCAACGGAGACATGACTAGTATAAACTAATTAGCTCTCTAATAATAATTGTTACTAGAAAGAATTGAATTGTAGAGCTCTCTAATTTAATTCTTACTAGTAAAAATGCAATTACGACGAGTAACGCTGGGAACAATTTAAGCTCAAACGGCTTGCCATAGAATACGGTGATCTTGCTACTGAAGTGTAAATGCTATTAACGCTGTGTGTGATCACAGTGATCATCATCATATCGCCCAGCCCTTCTCACTGCTACACGCTTCAATCATTATATCACTTATGCATTCATGAAACTGCATCTACATGACGTCTGTTATCTCGTGTGAATTACTGGAATCCATAAAGTAAATGCACATATTTTCAGTGAGTTTCGTCAACATCCTCCCAGAATCATAAGTGTATAAAACTCACTTTAAAGTGTCTAGAATACGGTTATCCAGATTAGCACCGATTCCTCGTGTTTAATCTTGGGCTAAATTGCACAGATACAGTATTTAGGCTTTATATATGTACAGGAAAACCATTCCAGGAGCTTATGTTTCATGTAAACAGATTTCTAGAGGATCCATGACTAAAACAAGCCTTAACCACTAAAGCCATTCACACGCACTTGAGTGAACACAACCAATCATTGGAGGAGAGGCGTTTCAGTGCAAGTGTTGAATTGATGTTAATGAAACTTATGTGCTAAATGTGTTACTTAATTTGGGTCCATCGATCAAGACAGCGCTCTGAGTTTATGCTTTAAATGTGAGTGAATCAAAGGACGTTTCAACGTTATAATCTCTGATGGATTGACAGCGTTTTCCGCAGGTTTTGTGGGGATTCCTGAACTTTTGATTGAATATATTTATTCATGAAACGCATGTCTTGCATTTATGTTTGAATGTGGAAACATGGTACTCGGCCTTCATGTTTACAGCGCTATCCCTGATCATTACTGATGTTCATATGACGATACTACAGTGGACTAAAGGCACTTTATTTCTCTGATGGAATTCCTGATCATGTTATTAATAGGTTATCTTAAATATTCAGTGAGGATACAACTATAATTTTTTTTTCTAATATGAAAAGTGCTTTGAAAATGTTTTCTTTTCTGTTTTAGTCTTCTTTATACTGATGTATTGATGACTTCCCCGTAGATGTTAATAATCACCCGTCACGACCTGCAGTTTTAGTGTCATTTGCAGTGAGTTTTCACAGTATGATGCTCAGTTCAGATTCACACGTGATCCTTTGCTCTGGGTTTGGGTTGTTGTTAAAAATGGACAAAATAAAGAATCTATTGTAGTCTTTTGACTTAATTGTACTTTTTTTTTTTTCTGTGACGACCTTATGTGTGCATAATTACGAAACAATGTTGTGAATATTTAACTATATAAAATAAATCCAGAAATAAATATTCACACGTCCACCACAAAAAAAATATTTTTATTCAGCAGGGATGCATTAAATTGATCAAAAGTGACAGTAAAGACATATATAATGTTATCAAAGTTTTCTATTTTAAACACATTTTGAACTTTCTGTTCATCAAAGAATCCTGGGGAAAAAAATAATGGTTTCCACAAAAGCATCACAAGTTTTAATATTGATAATATAATTTTTTTCCTGAGCAGCAAAGCATCATATTAGAGTGATTTCTAAAGGATCATGTGACACTGAAGACTGGAGTAATGATGCTGAAAATCCAGCTTTGATCACAGGAATAAATTACACTTTACTATATATTCACATTTCTTTTAATCGGAATAATATTTCACATTATTAATGTTTTTTCTGTGTTTTTGATCACATAAATGCAGCCTTGGTGAGCAGAAAGACTTTTTCAAAACAAAAAAAATCCCCAAACTTTTGAACACAAGTGTAACTTTGCTTGATTTGCTACACTGATTGGCACCTGTAAACATCCAGACTAATAAACCATGTTTTTATTTTATTTATTATTATTTGTATTTTGTTTGATTGAACATGGGTATCTTTTATCATAAAGCTGTTGGAGCCACCTTGTGTTGTGTCTTAAACTTGAACTGTATCGCAAGGCATTAATAAAAAAAAAGGAATATTGTTCTAATAAATTGTTAATTGGCTTAGTTATAAAGCAAAAGTTATAAACCTTAGAGAATTGTAGAATTGTGATTTCTATTCAGGCTAAAAAAAAATCATGGAAATGGTGTAGTTATGAGTGAAATTACTTTAAATGCTGTTTGTTTAAATCTCTACAATTGTTTAAAAAAAACCCTGAAAATGTCATTGCAATGTATTGGTCAAAAGGTGTGTGTGGACCATGGTTAAATCTGTTAAAAGTTTATTTTTCATTTTTAAGGGTTGTTTACACGACAACGATGTACTTAAAACGGAAACGTTTTTCCTTTGCTTTGTCCGTGTACAGAAGACAATGCTGTCAAAACAATCTCAGTATTCTGCTGTCAGGACAGTCGATGGCGACGAAACACGAAGCGCCTGAACAGTAATGTGATATTGCATATGATAACAGTATCGGTTTAAAAAAATTGCACTTTGTAACCCGTTTTCAAAAGTTTGCGTTTTCATGCCCCCAAAACACCGTTGTTGTGTAAACGAACGTCCAAAACACATAGAAAGTTTCCCATTTTTAGTTGAAAATGCTGTCGTGTAGGCTAAACGGTCCCTGATAGCGATTACAAATCTAAAATCAAGAACCCTCTCAGGCAGTTTGACTCAGGCTGTAATGTTTCCTCAGAGAGTCAAACCTGACGCTCAAATGTGAGATTCCAGCGAGACGAACGTTCTAATTAGAATGTAGAGAACGTGTAGGAACACCACGTGCAGCTGCGCTAAAAATACACACACACGCACACACACACACACATGCGAGAGAAATAATATTCATGAGGCTTTAGATGGAATGTTAGAACAGAATCACTTCTGAACACTGACTGAATTCACATTGATTATTATTGGTTAAAAAACATTAGGAAAAAACTGTCATGGGTCAATGTCAAACATATAATTTAGTAACTAATTATATGTAGGCCTATAACAAAGGGTTTATGACGTTAAATACATAGGCTAGAAGTAAATAAAAAAATAAATATGCATGTGACCAAGAGGCCAACAGTGGTAAATAATGTAATGACACCTTTACATATCTGTATGTGTGTGTGTGTGTGTGTGTGTGCGTGTGTGTGCGTGTGTGTTAAAGGCACATATTCTAATGCTCGTGATTCCGCTCAACCTCTATAGAGAGCAAAAGTCGGGTTCCGGAAGTAAAATCTCCATTCATTTTCTCCATAACTGATTTTTAATGATCACTTATAAACACAGTTATGATGGTGTTAACCGATGGTATGTGCTTTTGTCAAAGCCATCGGCCTGTATTATTTCAACTTATTTTTTAAACAACCGTGTTTTTAACAGCTGAATTTGTTTAAAAAAAACTACATTACCCATGATGCTGTACAGAAGATTTTTTTATTATTATTATTATTTATTTTAAATTTATTTTATTTATTCGTATTACTACGAATACTACTATACTACAACAATATACTATCGGCGGATGTGATTGACCAACGGTTAAATAGAGAGGTTTAATTAAAGGGGTTTGAGTGACTAATAATCAACATTTAACATGATAAAAAATAATGTTTTATGTAATGTTATCCGTGTTACATTATATCTGAAACTACAATGTGAATTTTTATAAAGATCCGTTTGGCCATCAACTTGAACGCACCTGAGGATTATTGGAACGTATCCATTATTTGAGCGTTTCCATTATTGGAACGTTATTATTGGAACGCATCCATTATTTGAGCGCATCCATCATTGCATCCATTAATATACGCATCCATTATTGGAGTGTATCCATTATTTGAACACATCCATTATTGGAGTGTATCCATTATTTGAACACATCCATTATTGGAGTGTATCCATTATTGGAACGCATCCATTATTTGAGCGTATCCATTACTGGAACGCATCCATTATTTGAGCGTATCCATTATTGGAACGCACCTGATCACATCCAAGTTCCATTATTGGATGCGTTCCAATAATGGATTTGTAAAAAAAGGCGTCCAGGTGCGTTCCAATAATTGATATGCTCAAATGGATACGCTCATTATTTGAGCGTATCCATTATTGGAACACACCTGAACGCTTTTTTTTTTACAAAATGGGAAAAATGAATGGGAAAAATAGTTGGAACGCATCCATTATTGGAACGCACCTGAACGCATCCATTATTTGAGCGTATCCATTATTGTAACGCATCTGACTGCCTTTTTTTTTTTTAAACAAATCCGTTATTGGAACGCATCCATTATTTGAGCGTATCCATTATTGGAACGCACCTGAACGCTTTTTTTTTTTTTTTTACAAAATGGGAAAAATGAATGGGGAAAATAGTTGGAACGCATCCATTATTGGGACACACCTGAACACTTTTTTTTTTTTTTTTACATATGGGGAAAATGAATGGGAAAAATAGTTCCGGAACAAGGCCATAGAAAAAGTGGTCAGGCACTAATGCACTTTATTTGCCGTTGGCAAGACTAGAATAATCAACTGTCTGGTTATCCATAACTTTAATGGTTTTCTCGGCATTGTCCACGTTCCTGATGAGGGTCTCGAGACGCCTCTTGATCTTCTTCTGGTCCTCCAGAGCGCAGCTGATCACGACGCTCTGAAACTTCTGGTCCACAGGCACGGGTGGAGCGTCGGTCACACACGCGGCGTGAAGAGCCTGAAGTCTTCTCCTAGACGCCTCCATGTCCTCCAGCAGCTTCCCAGCGATCTCATCAATCATGGCGATGGCGTTCTTCAGGGCCTCCTCCTGCTGGCCACTCCTGATGGTGTCCACAGACACGTGCACTGTCAAAGCCCTGCCCATGAGTCTGCTGGCGGTCAGAGAGAGCTCTTCCCGTTCCCCTGAAACACACGGTCAGATGAGCGCTAATGCGTGATCCATTAGCAGCCGCTAAAGCACTCGAGCAGTTTACCGTCACAGATGTTCCTCATCTCCTGGCTGTTCTGTATGGACTGGATCATCTCGATCAAGCTCTCTCTCTCCTGCTCCATAGCAGTGGCTTCCTCGCGAAACGCCTCCACCCTGAGACACACACACACACGCCACATTATTAGTCATGATTCTCTCTAATGTATAGAGTTTTTTCAGTTATTACATTTATTTGAACAATTATAATAAAGGTTTTAAGTGTGTCCCAAGAGTTATTGTCCACTCTCTTATTTTTGACTTATAATGAAAGTTGGAAAAGCTAAATGACATCATATCATAAAGCAGTCATCAACAACTTGGGCAAGTGTGTGTGTGTGTGTACATGTTTTTCTATCTCGGTGGGGACTTAAACCTGAAAGCACACAGACTCATGGGGACTCGTGCCACTGTGGGGACCTAAATTGAGGTCCCCATGGGTAAACACACTTATAAATCATACAGAATTATTATTATTTTTTAAATGTAAAAATGCAGAATGTTTTCTGTGATGGGTAGGTTTAGGGATAGGGGCAGTGTAAGGGGATAAAATATACAGTCTGTACAGTATAAAAACCATTATGTCTAATGTGTGTGTGTGTGTGTGTGTGAGAGATCCTCGATTATCTTAACTATTTTGACAGATTTTATGTCAAATTTCATTGTGGTTAACCTCACCACTTCCACTCTGAGGCAACATTAAACCAATACATATTTTAACAATTACAATTTAAAAACTGTGATATTGTTTATTTGATAAATCTTCTGTGTTAGCTTGTTTTTCTCAGACAGTGGCTGACTCTAGGTCAGAATGTCCACATGTTAAATCAGTTTAGGTTTAAAGTTGAAGACATAGTGTATTTAAAGTTATTTGGTAATGTTTAACATATTGTTTCCTATCAAAACCAATTGAAACAAAAGGAATATTGTTACTGGGTGTATGTGAGAAATAGGAAATCATCTATTTTTTTATACCACTTGTTACTATTTTGTCCAATCTATCACTTTATCAACTCTAAGCAGTTTTTTAAACAATAATTTCATAAAAATAAAAACAATTCAGTGACAGTGAAAATGTATTGGAGTATCAATAATGTACGTTAAAAAGTGAACAAGAAAATCCTTTTAGGCATTTGTATCTGAAAAGGAAAAATGTATATATTCTGATAATTTATTATCTGATAGGCTTTTAAAGGGACAAAAGGACATGAGTTTATTAAGAAAATGTACACAGTGCCCATAAATGAGAATCATTGTTCATTTGTCCCTAACAAAGTGGACATTTTTGATGTACCATTTCATTGATTTTGTTTAATAAATGGTTAGATTTATTTACCTGAGCTTGACCAAAATTATATTTTTTTATGTTTTACATCACCAATTACACAAAAATGTCTTTTAAAAATGGAGTTTGATTATCTAAATTGTAAAAGTCCTGAATCAGGTCAGTTCAAAACCACCTTCACTTCATAGCGAGGCTTTATCATGTATTCTTACCATACATTTCTGGAGGACAGAATTCATAAACATTCTTTATTTAAGGTTGATGAACTCAATACAACAAATTTTGACTTTAATTGACCTTAATTCTTACAGATCTCCAGCCCCGTTGTGACAATAACTCACAGAAAATCACATATTGGTCACACTTTAGAGGTGTCAATTGACATGCATGTATTTTAAAATAGCTCTAAGTAACGTTACAATGTGAAAACGTGCATTGTGTCATTTAAATGTTAGTACATACTCGAGGCGTTTGATTTAAAGATGGGATATTATAGTTTACAGACGGACTCGATATTGTTTTGCATTCCACAAAACAAAACCTATTTTTCATACTCCACATTTATGCACGTGTTGAAAACAGAAATGTTTGCACGATAAAAAGTTTGCATTTGCAATGTTTTAAAAACTGTTACTGTTCAGTTGCGTCAATAAACAACAGTTAAATTTGAGCAAATCCTCATGGATCATTTTAGATCTCGTGAGAAACGATCCCAAGAGTCAATATCCACTAATCTCACCTCATTTCAATTTGATCCAGATTTTCCAGTAAGCGTCCGGACCGGTCCGCCATTGACATGGTTCGGGTGAACTTGCCTTTATCGTTCATTTTAGCGTTAATTTTAGTTTGTGCCATATCTGCTGCTCGTCGCGTTAATGAATGTTTAACGGATGCAGTGACCTATAGGATATATATATGAGAGAAACACCCGACCCGAGCAATATAGCGATGTCCGGTCAGCGAGGGAATCGTTCACTTAGACGGATTCAGAAGAATCGATTCGCACAGCGTTTGCAAATCACTGTGCCACTGTAAAGTGACATTTAACAATATTTTTTCGAGCAGGTAAAACATAAATCTGGCACAAAACATGCAAGTTAGAGAGTAAAAGCGCCGAAATGTAACACTTTTGCAGATGACAAAGTGTCGCTCCTTCATTTCTATAAATTAAAAGTAATGTAAGACATCTTTAAATAACGCTCAAACAGTAGTACAATACAAAATCAACAAAATATTAATACATGAACTCAAATGAACAAATGAAAACTTTGTGATGACTCAAAAGAATCGCTTCATTAAATTCGAAACCGTTTGTTGGAATGAATCGCCCAAAAAGAATCGATTCTCTGAACTGAATCGACTCCTCAGCGCTATCGACCACCTTCTAGCGGTTTCCAGCGCTCTTGAGTAACATCTCCAAACATGGGCTGGAACTGCCCTCGGTTTTTCACTCCTTCAGACACGAGTGTAGGAGTTCATCTCTGGGATTTCAGAGGAGGGTGGGATCCGCTTTAGGGTCAAGAGCCAAGATGACATCAGAGAAAAGACAATAACCAGAACACAATAAGATAATGCTCAGACAGGAACAGGCAAACGCCATTTTAATTACTTTCCTTTATTTGAACTTAAAAGAAAAACACAGAAAGAAAAGAAATACATGTTTAATGGCTACAGTGCATGGACGACATGGGAAAACAGGTCCGTTTCTCTTTCCTCATCAAAACTCCTGTAAGCTTCTTTTCAATGCTTCTTCCATTTCTGCAAAATGAGAAAATGGGAAAAAAATCAGTTATATTGTTTTTGTATATTGTTACAATGTATCGATCAAATTGTATGCAGATTTATAATTCATCCAGTCAGTGATTACTCATACTAACATGATGACAGATGCAGTGACACAATGTTCAACTTGACAATTTCAACATCTGTGTGGCTACACCCAAACCCAGCACCATATATGTGCTCCTGAGACCCTCATAAATCCCATCCATTACAATAAATATCACACTGAGACGGAGTTTCATAAAAATGAAACATACCCACAATGATAATACTCTTCATGCATGCAAAGCTGGCAAAATAAACATCTGATTAATGCATGAACAGTGAACTCTCAACACTACAGAAATACAGTGGTTCAGAAACCACACGGTTCAGAAACAACACACCAGAAAGACGTGTCTAGACTCATGATGACCCACCAATTTCCAACTCTTTTGATTTCATGGCCTCATCCGCACTCAAGGCCAAAGCCAGTTTCATGTCATGATCAAACGAATCTATGGAGAAATACAGATTGGTCATGTTTTCCATGTAACAGCACTAAGATCAAATGAACATTGCAAATCTAAAATGAAATATTATGGAAGTACCGAAAAACCAGAGAAGAGAAAGGTGAAGACCTACCTTCATCTTCAAAATCTTGCGAAACGCTCACTTTTTTTTTAACATCGAGAGCATTAGAGGTAACGGCATTATTCACATCTTGAAACTCCTCCACTAAAGAACAACAACAAAAACAAACACATTTTTACTGTGATTGCACATAACAGTTCTTTTTCAAATCATGAAAAACAGTCAAATTTGTCCAGACTGGTGTAACTGATCTACACTCACCTAAAGGATTATTAGGAACACCTGTTCAATTTCTCATTAATGCAATTATCTAATCAACCAATCACATGGCAGTGGCTTCAATGCATTTAGGGGTGTGGTCCTGGTCAAGACAATCTCCTGAACTCCAAACTGAATGTCAGAATGGGAAAGAAAGGGGATTTAAGCAATTTTGAGCGTGGCATGGTTGTTGGTGCCAGACGGGCCGGTCTGAGTATTTCACAATCTGCTCAGTTACTGGGATTTTCACGCACAACCATTTCTAGGGTTTACAAAGAATGGTGTGAAAAGGGAAAAACATCCAGTATGCGGCAGTCCTGTGGGCGAAAATGCCTTGTTGATGCTAGAGGTCAGAGGGGAATGGGCCGACTGATTCAAGCTGATAGAAGAGCAACTTTGACTGAAATAACCACTCGTTACAACCGAGGTATGCAGCAAAGCATTTGTGAAGCCACAACACGCACAACCTTGAGGCGGATGGGCTACAACAGCAGAAGACCCCACCGGGTACCACTCATCTCCACTACAAATAGGAAAAAGAGGCTACAATTTGCAAGAGCTCACCAAAATTGGACAGTTGAAGACTGGAAAAATGTTGCCTGGTCTGATGAGTCTCGATTTCTGTTGAGACATTCAGATGGTAGAGTCAGAATTTGGCGTAAACAGAATGAGAACATGGATCCGTCATGCCTTGTTACCACTGTGCAGGCTGGTGGTGGTGGTGTAATGGTGTGGGGGATGTTTTCCTGGCACACTTTAGGCCCCTTAGTGCCAATTGGGCATCGTTTAAATACCATGGCCTACCTGAGCATTGTTTCTGACCATGTCCATCCCTTTATGGCCACCATGTACCCATCCTCTGATGGCTACTTCCAGCAGGATAATGCACCATGTCACAAAGCTCGAATCATTTCAAATTGGTTTCTTGAACATGACAATGAGTTCACTGTACTAAAATGGCCCCCACAGTCACCAGATCTCAACCCAATAGAGCATCTTTGGGATGTGGTGGAACGGGAGCTTCGTGCCCTTGATGTGCATCCCACAAATCTCCATCAACTGCAAGATGCTATCCTATCAATATGGGCCAACATTTCTAAAAAATGCTTTCAGCACCTTGTTGAATCAATGCCACGTAGAATTAAGGCAGTTCTGAAGGCGAAAGGGGGTCAAACACAGTATTAGTATGGTGTTCCTAATAATCCTTTAGGTGAGTGCAGAGCCATAGAGAGAAAGAGTTGCGACACGCTTTGATGTCGCCGCGACGGCTGTCACATGGTTCATGTAAGCCCCAATAGTTCCACAACATACGCGGGCTGTCATGTTCTTCTATGGACAGACAGCAGCGATTGCATTATTAAACGGTAAATATAAAATAAAACACACACCCAAGTACTTTTTCAGCTGTTATTGCATTTAGTTAATGTCAGTTTTGCATTTGGAGAGGCAGGGTGACAACTTAGATAAGTTTATAGGCTATATTTTTGGAGGGAAACGCTAGTGTTCATGTTCGCATGGGTAGTACCACTGGCTTTAGCGGCTCTAACTTAACTTTTCCATGTCATTCATCTGATGATGGACGTCTCATGATATTTATTTTAGCACAACTGGGCTGTATTAGGCTATTGATTCCCGTGATCTTGCTTATAAATTCCGCTTCGTGATCACGCAAAGAGGTCTGCGGTCCGTTCACAATTCCAACCAACATAAAATATAAATAATTACGCTGTGCATGTACAAATGAATAATTTAGGAGGGAAATAGACTGCTCCCATAACTTAGAAAGCAACGACTATATACAGCAATGTTCGGTAAATATTCAACCGAAAAATATTCTTCATAAAATGAAACCGGAGAGAGATAGTTAATGAGTGAATTAACTATGTTCCTAAATACATATAAGCACATATATGCATAACCCTAACCCATTTAAATAAATGAATTGTGTGTGTGTATGTATATATAATGTTATATATAGGCTATATATATATATATATACATACATATAAAATGTTATTAAAAATATTATATACATCAGTTACCGTAAGTTAGCTAACGTTAGTGAAGTGTTGGTCACGTAAGCTATCGCTGCAATGAACCTATTATCTTCCAATAAACATTTACTAAAACTGGCTACATAAAATATAACTACAGACTAGATTTACGAGAGGTCGGCTAATGTGTGTAAAAGTAAAAAAATACAGTAATTTCATTAATTTACCAGCGAGCGTACTTCGGAAGCACTGAAAATGAATGGGGTTCAATGGAGAAACTATCAGTGTTTGGAACTATTGGCCGCTCCACGACACGCGTTACTTCCGCATTCCAAAGTTCCTATGGCGGTCTATGGGAGTGTCGCAACTCTCTCTCTCTATGGCTCAGGGTAAGTGTATAATTCAATGCTGTGCTGCAGGGATGTGTTTTTGAAGGCCAAAACCCAGAACCATCCGGTTCCATCATCCTGAAGTCAATGGATTATTTGGGGTTTTGCCAGAAATAAGGTCTGTGGTGAACACAAGCTCAAGATATTATCATATTATAGAATACATCAGAAATGACCCCTTGTGACTTTTTTTAAAAGCTTTTACTTGTCTTGAAAAAGGTTGCTAACAAGTGTCTCAATGGGACTAGAGGATGAGATGAACTCATCTACTCACTTTCACAGCTTTGTTGTGTTCATAACCACACGTTTGCACACTATTCCAACTAAACTTTCAGGATTTTTTTTTTTTTTTTTAAAGACTGAAAGAGCTTAGTAATGGTGATGTTGACGTCATGTGACAGCAGTGTTGTTCGTTTACAGCCTACGTTTAGTTTTTTCTTCTACATTCAAAAGTTGTGTTTGTGAAGATTATCACGAAGACAAAACGTGGAAGATCATAAGCTTTTGTTGTATTTTCTGCAATAATCCAAAAGCCAATGGAAAATCCAATTGGGTTTTTGTCGAGGGCATCAGGGTGATGCGAACCTACGAGTTGGCCTAAAAAAATGTCATCACTACAGCGCTCTATTGGCTCAGTTCACTTCAGAATGAAAACTTCCTGATGATTTACTCTCCTCCACGTCATCCAAGATGTTCATGTCTGTCTTTCTTCAGTGGAAAAGAAATTAAGGTTTTTGAGGAAAACATTCCAGGATGTTTCTCCATATAGTGACTTCAATGGGGTCCAACGGGTCGAAGGTCCAGATGTGAGTTTCAGTGCAGCTTCAAAGTCTCGACACGATCCCAGCCGAGGAATAGTGTCTTATCTAGACAAACCATCAGGCATTTTCTAAAAAAATTTAAAATATATTTACTTTTTAACCACAAATGCTCTTCTTAAACGTCCACGACTTTACGCATTACGTAATCACGTTGGAAAGGTCACGCGGTAACTTGATGGAGCCGGAAAAGTCTCATTTTCTCCCACTTCAAAATCGTTTTAAAATTCAAGTGAAAATTTCAAATAAAAAAATGTAAATGGCGTTTGACTTAATCTTTGCTTTGTAAACAAAGTAAACACTAGGTCGGTACTTCCGCGTGACCTTTCGAAGTGATTACGTAATGCATGAAGTCTTTGACGTGCAAGACGAGCATTTGTGGTTAAAAAGTATTTTTTACATTTTTTTTAGAAAATGGCCGATGGTTTGTCTAGATAAGACTCTTATTCCTCGGCTGGATCGTGTCGAGACTTTGAAGCTGCACTGAAACTCAGATTTGGACCTTCGACCCGTTGGACCCCATTGAAGTCACTACAGTATATTTAGAAAAATCCTGGAATGCTTTCCTAAAAAACCTTAATTTCTTTTCGACTGAAGAAAGAAAGACATGAACATCTTGCATGACGTGGGGATGAGTAAATAATCAGGAAATTTGTGAACTACTCCTTTAAGGTTGGAAAAACCAAGCCAGTAACTTGATACTGCATATTCCTCACCATTACTCTGAGGGAAGATCTCCTCAGCGGTTATAACACTGCCGGTGGAGGCTGGTTTATCGTCTGTGGCGTTGGGTCGGGAACAAGCGCAAGGCTCTGACTGGCAGTGATGCTTATGGTAGTGTGAATGGAAACTGGGCACATCTTTGTGGCTCTGTGAGCAAATGGTGCAGAGAACATCAAACCGTTTCTCACTGCCCTGGGTCTTGTGGTGTAGGAGGAGGTGTGTCTTCATCTCCGCGTAGGCCGGCGTGTTTTTGTCGCACTGGCGGCAGCAGTATCTGCATTTATTTTCGACGGCCAACTGTTTCATGCACTTTGTGAAAATTTCTTTCCTTTCCTCTTTGCTTTTCTCAGAGCCCATGCAAGCACAAAGTTGTGAAGGAGTCGGACTCGTACCCGCTATGGGACTCTCAACAGCGTTCGCCTGGGAATTATTCCCAGCCGTTTCCAAGCGGTAGTAGTCGTGGCTATGCAGACTGTCGTAGTGCTCCTGAAACTCGTTCTCGGTGTCATACAACATGCTTTCGCAGAGTCCACAGAAGTAGCGGAGGACAATGTCGCCACCGTGTTCGTTGGCGCAATGGCGTCGCAAAGTGGACTCTTTAAAAAACTTTTGCGGGCAGTGGCCACAAGCGAACCTTTGGAAACTATGGCTGCTCAAATCCCCGCAGTGTGTTCGCACCGACGCCTCCGAGTCGAAGAGATCCTCACACATTCGACAGAGCCAAGACTCGACTTTCGGAGGTGAGACGCGAGAGGAACTTGCTGGCCTGAGGATTTTGCTTTCCGCACTTGTTGACGGTTTAGGGGACATGCTAGACGAGACACGCTCGTCTAACGCGTCTTCTCTTTCTTGGTAATAGTTGTGTCCTCTATGGCTCACACCAATATGAGCCATGATGTCTTCCATCCTTGGCATTTCCACTTTGCACTTTCTGCAGTGGAAAAGAAAGTTGGATAAATGAGCGCCACCGTGGAACCGGCTCATATGCAAGCGCGTTATAGACGATTCTCCCATTAACTTTCCACAGACGGCGCATTTGTGGAAGATCTGATTTGCCGCTTGGATGTGTTTCTTTGCCGTTTCCTCCTCGGTGAAGCGTAGACCGCATTCACAGAACCAGGCGAGCTGTAATCGTTTTCCTGGTTTGGCTTGGGAATCTAAGCTAGCCGGTCTTTTTCGCTTGGCTAAAGGCCCATTTGTATAGTTTTCTGTAGCCCCACATGCCATGCCCTTCTGAGCATTTCTGATTTCACAGTAGTTGCTGTAGTAAAGAAGACCTCTGGTCATGCTGCCGACTCTCTCCACCTCGTGTTTCATGAGCTCTTTGTGCTCCTCCATCTGAGCCACGCTAAGAAAAGGTTTGAGGCATGAGGAGCATTGACCCGTCACCGCCATCTTCCTCATGATGTCAGCCACGCTTTGATCGGCAGTGGCAATGGCGCAGCCATGTCTGCATTGCACACTGGGAAACAAAACAAGAAGCATAGAGTTGTTAGTGCACAACGAAACCTGGATCTCAAAGATCCAGGTGGATTTGTTCACTTTAGAATTCATTTCCTGATTATTTACTCATCCCCATTTCATCCAAGATGTTCATGTCTGTCTTTCTTCAGTGGAAAAGAAATTAAGGTTTTTGAGGAAAACATTCCAGGATGTTTCTCCATATAGTGTCTTCAATGGGGTCCAACTGTTTGAAGGTCCAAATGTGAGTTTCAGTGCAGCTTCAAAGTCTCGACACGATCCCAGCCGAGGAATTATTATTATATTATTATTATTATAGTCTTATCTAGACAAACCATCGGCCATTTTATAAAAAACAATAAACATTTATATACTTTTTAACCACAAATGCTCGTCTTGAACGTCCACGACTTCACGCATTACGTAAAGGTCACGCGGTAAAACTCCATCTCATGTTCTCCTCCAACTTCAAAATCATCCGACATCATTGTTTTACCTTTTTTTTTTTTTTATATGACGTTTGACTTCGTCTTTGCATGTTTGTATTGGGTCGGTAATTCCGCCTACGTCACGCGTGAACTTTCAACATGATTACGTAATGTGTGGCGCATCCCAGCTAATGCAAGACGAGCATTTGTGGTTAAAAAGTATATAACTGTTTTTTTTTTGTTTGTTTTTTAAATGACCGATGGTTTGTCTTATTCCTCGGCTGGGATCGTGTCGAGACTTTGAAGCTGCACTGAAACTCACATCTGGACCCCATTGAAGTCACTATATGGAGAAAAATCCTGGAATGTTTTCCTCAAAAACCTTAATTTCTTTTCCAATGAAGAAAGACAGACATGAACATCTTGCATGACGTGGAGGTGAGTAAATTCATTCTGAAGTTATTAAATAGGAGCACTTTTAATCCAAGAAAACACCCATATAGACTCACTTGAAGTGTGCTCTGGCCTCCATATGCGAGGCGAGCACCTTAGAGCAGACTGTGCACTTGACGTTGAAGCTAATATCCTTACATAGAGCGACTAAACGGTTCTTGGCGTACCGTGGAACTGGCACGGGCACGGCTGACGGTTTTGCTTCTGGAAGACAAAAACATGAAATGCAGGGTTAAATAAATGAATGATAAAACTTGATCAGAAAGCTGAATGCTGATATTATTGAAAACAAACAGGAATTGGTCAAAGATGCATGAAAAAAAAATGTCAAGATGTATTTTTCTCGCTGTGTCGTCCAGTCCGTTTGTTTACAGTCCTGGAAAGATCATGATGCATGTGTAGTTTTGACTTGATTGTTGAAGAGCACACACCACAGAGAAAGATGGACTGAGTGAAGTGGTTTTTTGCAGACATGTGCTGAAGGCATTCGTCCCTGGTGTTGAAGAGGAGGTAACAGGCAGGACATGCAAAGCACACGATCAGCTGATAGGTCTGGGAACGGCTGTGGCCACTCGCGTCAGAGGAGGACACCTACAGATGACATCAAGCACACATCAAGAGACGAAGCAAACTTTATGCCACTTCTTCGTAACATTTCCATTATAAAGACAATTAAAGCTGCAGTCCGCAGTTTTTCCTCTTTGTCGCCATCTCTGTTCGAAATCTGCAATTGCAGTCATTCGTGGAATTATCAACTTTACGTGGGTTGTGCCTCGGCACGGCACAGCGCGGATGAACACAATGTTTGAGGAGAGTGTGCGTCTGTCAGTCACCGCGCCGGTGTGGATACTGGCATTCACAATCACAGATTATTCTTTTTGGAAGTATGACCAACATAAGAATCACGGAAATTGTAATCTAAACTAGTAACATCCCCTTTTGTTCAGACCAACTAAGGGGAAAAAAAGCATTGCAGTAAATCGCGCTCATTTAATCTAACCATCGCTTATAAGTTATCACATCACGTAAAACCGTGCAAATTATACTTTGTTCTCAAATTGTTAATGTTCAACGTCAGCATTGCGTGACGACATTCAATGTCCTTCCGATATTTATGCTTGTTTTCGCATGGGCCGTTGCAGTCTCTTTTCTTCTGTCGCCACTCCGAAGTCTTTTGCATTTAACAGCGGGTGAGTCTCTAATTGTCACTGGTGATTGTCGTTTGAACCTTTCTGTATCCGCCCTCAAATTATTAAGTTTAATTATATCAAGTGCTGTGAGAAAAGGCTATAAATGTCCACCTCCAGCATCCTCACACTCACAGCCTACTAGCCGAGACTCTGCTTTATGTGTACAGATGTGTGTGTACAGATGTGACGTAATGACGCAAACAAATTCCCGCTGAAATACACCAGTACCACTGGAGTTATAAACATTATTACTTACCGTTTTGAATCGAGCTACGGCAAGAACACTGGCTAGTTATGTACTTGCTCAAATTTAATTGGGATAATTTTTAACCCAAAAAAAGTTACGGACTGCAGCTTTAAGACGATGCATTAACATGTTAACTGTAAAAAAAAATGATTAGGGGAAAAAAAAATGTAAAGACTACTTTAACATCAATAAAAACATGAAAGCTGAAAATATGAATGAAAATTAAAACCTTCGACTCCAGGTGTTCCGTCCATGCCTCTTTAGAGCTGAAGTGGCGTCCACAGGCCACACATGCGTAGACAGAGGACGGGCTGCCCTTCAGGGTGATCGTGGGGTCACAGGGGGAATGATCAAAGCTAACAACAAAAGTTAAAAATTTTTTTTACATTTACATGAATGCATTTGGCAGGCGCTTTTATCCAAAGCGACTTACATTGCATTTCAAGCTACACATTTTTACATTCTTATCAGTTGGTTCTTGCTTTCCCTGGGAATCGAACCCATGACCTTGGCGTTGCAAGCGCCATCGCTCTACTGTTTGAGCAACAGGAAAGCTGGGTGAAAGTTGTAAATGTGCAATTCAACTGTAAATATAAGAAATCTGAGCATTTTTGCAACCGTTTCAGATGTCCCTCAAGCAAAGGCACGTTGTCGTAGACTCGGCCGCAGTTGATGACCGGGCAGGTTTGTGGAGAAGCCCTCGCCGGACCAGGAGCCGATCTGCGTCTCCACAGTGAGCAGGAGTTAATGCTGCCTGGCTGTAATCCTGAGCAACCCAGACAACATGAGCACCAGAACCAAACACACACACACACTCATATTAGCTGGAGTTACAGAACAGTACAGACCTGGCATTTTTAGCCAAATGTCCACACAGCGCTTGGCATTATCTCTGTCGTTATTGCTCCGGCTGACCGCCAGCTCGTGCCGTCCGTGGGCTTGCTGTGAAATAATCTTCTCCTACAGAACAAATCACAAAATACTGTTGGAAGAATGTCATTCATGGTCTGGGTTTCAGAAGTACTTTTCCCAATTTACTATCTCCATTAGCATAAAAAAAAACAAAGTTACAAGCCATAAGTCAAGTCACCTTCATTTATATAGCGCTTTTAACAATGTAGATTGTTTCAAATCAGCTTTACAGTGATTATAGGAAATTAAAGTAACAGATTGTTTTGGCTTTACAGCAGCTCTAGAATAAAGTTATTGTCCAGCTAAAGTTAGTTTTGAAGGGTTGGTCAAAATCCCTTGCCTCTTCAAATACAGTCCCCTCCAAAAGTATTGGAACGGTAAGGCAAATTCCTTTGTTTTTGTTGTTCACTGAAGACATTTGGGTTTAAGATCAAAAGATGAATATGAGACAAGAGTTTAGAATTTCAGCTTTTAATTGGTGGTATTCACATCTAGATGTGTTAAACAACTCACGACATACCACCCTTTGGTTGAAACCACCCATTTTTCAAGTGAGCAAAAGTATTGGAACATGTGACTTACAGATGTTTATTGTTGCCTAGGTGTTGCCTTTTAGGTTGATTGTACAAACATTAAATAGCTCTGCTTGACTAGTCTAAGTTTTCCTCCTTGGTTCAAACCTATAAAGACTGCATTTCCTGTTAAAGAGGATAAACCAACATGAAGACCAGAGAGCTGTCTATGGGAGAAAAGCAAGCCATTGTCAAGCTGAGAAGAAAAAGGAAAGTCGACCAGAGCCATTGGACAAACATTGGGCATAGCAAGCACAACAATTTGGAATGTCCTGAAAAAGAAAGAAGCTACTGGTGTACTGAGTAACAGACGTCGAAGAGGTTAGCCAAGGAAAACAACAGTAGTTGATGACAGAAATATCGTGAGAGCTGTGAAGAAAACCCCCAAAACATCAGTAAGTGACAACACCAACGACCTCCACAGTGAAGGGATGAAGGTATCACAATCCACTGTTCGAAGAATACTCAGAGAGCAGAAATATAGAGGCCACACCACAACATGCAAACCACTCATCAGCAGTAAGAATCGGAAGGCCAGATTGAAATTTGCAATGAAGTACAGAGATGAGCCGCAAAAGTTCTGGAACACAATCTTATGGACTGATGAGACCAATATTAATCTCTACCAAAGTGATGGAATGGCCAAAGTGTGGAGAAAGAAAGGAACTGCTTATGATCCGAAGCATACAAGCTCATCTGTGAAGCATGGTGGAGGTAATGTCATGGCTTGAGCGTGCATGGCTGCTTCTGGAACAGGCTCATTAATATTTATTGATGATGTAACTGATGATGGTAGCAGCAGAATGAATTCAGAAGTGAACAGAAACATTTTGTCTGCCAAATAACGGAGAAATGCATTGAAACTAATCGGGAGGAAGTTTATCATGCAGCAGGACAATGATCCAAAGCACACTGCCAACAAAACAAAGGACTTCATCAGGGGGAAAAAGTGTAAGGTTTTAGACTGGCCAAGTCAATCACCTGACCTTAACCCATTAGAGCATGCATTTCACCTCCTTAAGAGGAGACTGAAGGGAGAAACACCCCGAAACAAACAAGAACTGAAAGAAGCTGTGGTAAAAGCCTGGAAAAGCATCCCAAATGAAGAATGCAACTGTTTGGTGATGTCGATGGGTCGCAGGCTTGAGGCAGTTATTGCAACCAAGGGTTAAGCCACCAAATATTAAATGTTATTTACTTTAAGATTATTTGTTCCAATACTTTTGCTCACTTGAAAAATGGGTGGTTTCAACCAAAGGGTGGTATGTCGTGAGTTGTTTAACACATCTAGATGTGAATACCATCAAATAAAAGCTGAAATTCTGAACTCGTCTCATATTTTAATCTTTTGATCTTAAACCCAAATGTCTTCAGTGAACAACAAAAACAAAGGAATTTGCCTTACCGTTTCAATACTTTTGGAGGGGACTGTACATCTATAATCATATATCCTTTTGAATGCTTATATACTTCCTTTATAAATATATTCATTATCACATAATAATTTTTAGTTTCTTTGTGCTTGTGAGATTGTATTTTCTTAAATGCATGTGATGTAAGTAACCAGTTTCTTTTAGGTGCATTCCAATCTTACTTTGAGATTGCACGTAGTACACGCAGGACACGAAGGCCACGTAACCCACAAGGCCGTTTGTCTCTTTCTCTGGGATCAGTAGAAAGGTTTATAGAGGGTCCTAAAGGCAGCGTGGACACATATGATCCTTCGCTGGACAGATGGTCAAGCTATATTGAGCGTTACTATCGAACTTTAATTGTTGTATTAAAATGTATTCTTTCCAGTATATTTCCTTCCTTGGGAGTAAATGCCAGTTATCTGTTTTTCTCCCAAACGAGTGAATGTTTTAGCATTTTGTTTTGGTATACTTAACTGATAATAAGGAGCTCAGATTCTCTTCAGCCTTGATGGGAGCTGTTATTTGCTAGTGTCTGTTATTTGTGTGTGTGTGCGTATGACATTCTATGTAGGTTCTGGACGTTCGGACCAGACAACACGACGCCCTTCTCTAACCTGCGAGGCCACCACAGACCTAAATCTAATGAGTGGACGACAACTATCTTGACTAATGGCGATAGACACCCCTATCTCCTCACATGTGTTAAATTGTTTAGGCTTTCATGTTTCTTAGCCAATGAGAATCATTCAACCTGTAAACAATGACGTAGCTTAGACCTTGGAAATGGTATAACTGCTGTGATCTTTGTAACTAAGCGGGGCGGCCTACGAACTCCTGTGTGAGTCTTGAAGCTGACTTCTGCTGATGAATCTTTCATAGGTAAGTACATGAAAGGGGTTTCCGGCGCATGCTCTGCTGCGACGACACACATTCTGTCTGTGATCCATAGCGGTCTCATGGTTCTCTGTCTCCCGCTTGTTCTGGTTGTATAACTGCCTAGCGTCTCGTGCTATCGTGAAGTCCTTTGTGAAATCTGTCTCCTGTCTATTGTTAAGTCTCGTCCGTCTACAATGTCTGATCTCTACAAAGCAATCGGAATCGGATTTATTATTATTATACTTTGGACTATTAGCATCCACTCGGTGCTGGCACTAGAAACCAGCGACCGAGGAACACTCACCTATAGCCGTGAGGATCTTTTACAGCTACGATCCTCCATCCGGTGCAAACAGAAGCCTGCGATTACATTACCACCGGAGGTAAAACTGAGGCGAAGAGGCAGACGAGGCGGAGTGCGAACCAGACTTTGGAAGCGTCCCTTCAGACCCCCTCTCCCCTCCATCATATTGGCGAATGTCCGCTCCCTCCGTAATAAAATGGACCTGATGCACGCGAGAGAGCCTTCAAGGACGCCTGCATCATCACTCTGACTGAATCCTGGCTGGGCGAGGAGACCCCAGACACTGAGGTCAGTCTAGATCATTTCACCATCATAAGAGCCAACAGAACTAGCCAGTCGGGCAAGGGGAGAGGTGGTGGGGTCTGTGTCTATATTAACAAAAGGTGGTGTGATAACATCAAAGTCCATAATAGGGTCTGCACACCAGACGTGGAGATGCTGACCCTGTCCTTGCATCCCTTTTACCTCCCGAGGGAATTCCCCGCTGTTGTTGTCACCTGCACGTACATCCCTCCTAGTGCTAACATCAAGGTAGCCGCGGAGACACTAGCCGAGGTGGCTAACTCCATGCTAGCCAAGTACCCTGAGGCGCCAGCGTTTATTTTAGGGGACTTTAATAAATGCATCCTCAGTGACGTACTGCCGTCCTTCCAACAATACGTGGATGTTCCCACAAGAAAAGAGAACACTCTGGACTTGTGTTATGGTAATATAACTGATGCCTTCAGTGCTCAGGCTCACCCTCCACTCGGCTTCTCTGACCACAATGTCGTGTTCCTCCTTCCGCAATACAAACCGGAACTGAAACGCATCAAGCCACAAACGCACAGCGTCACCCAATGGTCGGAGGACGCAATTGCACAGTTGCAGGGCTCTTTTGCCTGCACCGACTGGGACGTTTTTCAGGGGAGTTTGGATGAGCGGATTTCACTCATTACGGACTACATAAAGTTCTGCATCATGACGATTATTCCGACAAAGAATATCACCAGATATCCAAATTCTAAGCCCTGGATCACCCCTCATATCAAGCTCACTCTCCAACAAAAACAAAAAGCTTTCAAGCAGAAGGACTGGGCCACTCTCAAACTACTTAATAGACAGACAAAAAATGACATCACCAAAGCCAAAATAAAATATAAAGAAAAAATGGAGCAAGAATTCAGTAACATGAACACAAAACAAGCTTTTCAAAAAGTCAAACTACTAACTGGACAGGAACAAAAACAGAACCACATCACAGCACCAGACCCATTAACCTTTGCCAACACCCTAAATAACTTTTTTGCTCGGTTTGATACCCATGACTTTTCTACCACATGTGAGGACTTGCTCAGTGCCCTCCCCCGCCAAGACCCCACACACCCACCCTTCACAGAGGAGGATGTCCGAAAGCAGCTGGCCAGGTGCAAACCTGGCAAGGCAACAGGGCCAGACGGCATCCCAGCAAGGGTGCTTAAGCTCTGTGCCATGGAGCTCTCTCCCATCTTCCACACCATCTTCTGGGAATCATACAGGACAGCCTCAATACCCACCCTATGGAAAACCTCAACCATTGCACCAATCCCAAAGAAACCACGCCCCTTAGAGCCTAACCACTATCGGCCGATTGCACTCACACCCATAATTATGAAATGTTTGGAAAAATTAATCCTCAACCTCATCCTGACAACTGTTAGACAACACCTGGACCCACATCAATTTGCATACAGACCCAGACGAGGTACGGAGGACGCAGTGGCATGCCTTCTCCATCCTATTCTTCAACACCTGCAGACATCTGGAAACTTTGCATCAGTCCTCTTCATTGACTTCAGTTCCGCCTTCAACACAATCCAACGTCGGCAGCTCATCAAAAAAATCACATCACCTCAATATCCC